CAATTCTACCGTACGTGTTGAACTAATTGTTGCCTAAAAGATTGAGGATATGCATTTTTTAGTACTTTTAAACTCCTTCGTAGCTGTTTAGGATTTTTAATACATATGTTTTCCTTAAATGATTTAGGATGCTCTGCGGCATGTGTTTGCAAGTAGGATTGTCGAGGTTAAGGACTCTCCGCAATGGAATCGATTGTCATTTGTTTCGTGCGCGTGCAATGGCTTAGTTCGCATGGACGAGTCTTTGCAACTTCTACCTGCTGTTGAAACCCTTGATCTGAGCCGAAACAAGTTTTCAAAAGTGGACAATCTTCGCAAGTGTGTGAAACTGAAACATCTGGATCTTGGTTTTAATCATTTAAGGACAGTTGCCTCTTTCGCTGAGGTATGTACTTCAAATAGTCCCGTCACCGTTTTTCTCTAGGTCACTTTGCATATTCATTAATATTGTTTTGATAAATAAGTATGCAGATTTTTGGGAAAAAAAAAAATAGTAAGGTGCATGTTAGTTCTTTATTGCCCTATGTAGCCAAGGGCAGACCTAGAAATTTCCACAGGGAGGGGTAAAATTTTATATTAAATTTAGGTGGGGCAAAATAGAGTGAAAAGTTTAAAATCTTAAATTTCATATGTAATATTTCAATCTAAGATTATAAGTAAGAAATGTCTCCATGAAAAATAAAAGAATTTTGTCTATGTTCCTTGCTGCTGAGCGTATGCTTTTCTTTTATATAATGACAACATGTTTTTCTCTACAAGATATTCAACAGCATACAATGAATTATATAATGTAAGTATAAGAATATTGAGAATGAAGCTTTTTTTTTTAAATTTATTATTATCATTTTTTTAATGGTTTCTATGCAATATTGTCTCTAAATTCTACATAATCAAATTTATGAAATAACTACAGAACCTTTTATAAAATCGAATAATCTTGCCTGATTTAACAACTGTAGTAACTGAACTTTCCACTTTACTGTAATCAATCACCGGTAATAATTTCATGAGAAGAGCAGGTTTTTTCCTTCCTAGAACTAAACTACCTTGCTGATGTTGTTTGTTAAAATTCCCCACACATTGTGAAGATAGAGGAGAGCTGTTTTCACTTAATTATTTTTGAGTGCTAGCAGTGTCTAACTTTACAGTTCAGAGACTTGAACCCAATGTTTAAATTTCATGAATCATGTTGTGGTTGGCTTGAATAACTGAATCTATTGTTTTCATGGTAACAAGATGACACAAAAATTCCATGTTTGGATGTGTTGAGAGTTTTTTTCTGTATACTTGTCTTTGAATTATCTGTTAATGGCATTCGTTGAGTTTTTGTGGCTTTTATTCTTTATATTATGGTCTTGCATTGAATGTATTAGCTTGTAATAATTTTTAATGACTTCTTACCCCCAAAGTGTAGTATTGATTAACTTGTTTATTTATCGGGATCTTGATTTGCTTTTGCCCAAATGTAAAATGTTATCACTATTTTTAATCTGAACCGATGTGAAGCTCTACTCTGAAGCTGTTGAGCTTGAAACATATCTTTTCTGCTTCAAGTTGTTGTTTTAGGTGTAGTTTCGGACCCATACACAAATATTGTTGGAAAATGCAGGTCCCGTCGCGTATAATTAAACTTGTTTTGAGGAACAATGCTCTAACTACATTGCGTGGGATTGAGAATTTGAAGTCACTTGAAGGACTTGATGTGTCCTACAATATAATTTCCAATTTTTCAGAGCTGGAGTTCCTTGTGGATATTACATCTTTACAGAATTTATGGCTAGAGGGAAATCCCTTATGTTGTGCACGGTGGTATAGGGCACATGTGTTCAGCCTTTTCTCTCATCCAGATAATGTTCGTTTTTTTCCTTTGTCAATTTTTATTATCATTTTAACTCATCTTTAAATGTTATTATCCAAAAAAAATGTTGTTATCATTAATTTTTAAGATTTTGATTTAGAATGAGTATGAGAAAAGTGCATTGCATGCAACTAAATACTGTTAGTAATTTAGCCATCTTAGTATGATCTTGGTTTTTTGTTTTGTTTTATCGTTTACTAGTTGAAGTTAGATGACAAGGGAATCTGCAAAAGAGAATTTTGGAAGAGGAAAATTATAATTGCTAGCAGGCAAAAGCGACCTGCCAGTTTTGGATTTTATTCCCCTGCAAAATATGGTGCTCAAGGAGAGGGGAGTACAAACAGGAAAAAGGTAGGTGGTTACTGTTATTGAAAGATAGACCATTGCATAATTCTTTTCAATCAGAAAGTGTTATATTAGTGTTAAATTCAGTATGTCGAGAATAATACTCTAAGCATAAATTGTATTAGAACTTTTTTAATTAAATTGGTTAGTTTTTTATAATGCTCGGATACAAAGTTTTTGAAAAATATTAGTGATGTCACTTTTTAGTTGCCGTTGGTTGTGTAAGAACTATAGATATTGTTTTTTGAGCGGTTTAGTGGATTATATAACGCAAACAAGCATCTTCTAATGTTTTGGTACTTTAGACAAATAGAGTAAACAAAAATCATTGTGTTTGCCCCTAATGGTAAAGTTGAGATGGAAAGTTACTTTTTCTCAACAAATCATAAGAATTTATAATTCACCAGTTTATAATTGAATTTAATAAATTCCCAGTATAACTTGAATGGTAAAATAATAACTTGAATGGTAAAATCAGGGATAGGAATGTCTTCGTGCATTATTCTGTCACTTCACCATAGCATGGAGATAGCATACTAATGAAATGTCCATTTTATAATTGAGGGAATAAATTGTTTAAAGAGAGAAACCTTATTTATAATTCACCAGTATATGTAATGGTATTTTGGAAAGTGATGATTAATTATATTCATATTTGAACGTTCATTTTCTTCCATATTTCAATGCTTCTTCGGATTTAAACTTGAATTACCAATTTTTCAATATTCATTCTAATCTTTGAACTTTAGTAATATCATGTTATCATTCTTAAATAAATTATTTATGTTCTGAGGGATACATTATCTAAGTAATCATATAAGTTTTGTCGTTATTTTTGCAGAGAACAATTTCTCGAATTGCTTCTATTCATAGTGAAGAAGAGAGTACTTATTTCTGTTCTGATCAGGAGTCTGTATCCTGTGATAATGAGACTCGAAGCAGAGAGGAAGCAACATTATCTGATAATGAAGTTGAAGTAGTTGATTTGATGAAGAAAATTGAATTTATGAAGAAAGAGCGTTCTGCACTTTGGCTGAGAGAGTTTGAGGACTGGATGGATCATGCTCCTCCAAATACTGTTAATGGCAATCTCAACAGGGCTATTTTGCACCCTTGGAAAGAAAATTTTATGAAAAGTAGGAAAACTCCACAGCATATTGGTGAGAGCTCTAGATATAAATCTGACTCTATACAGGCATCGGGAGATGAAAGTATTACAAATTTTGTGGAGTCAGATAATTTCTTTGTAAACATGCCTAGAGGTTTGACGAAATCCCATTACTTTGGCCTGAATGGTTCACTGGGGAATGATGTTGAGGTGCCCCTATCTAGAACACAGAGACTGAATCTTAATAACGGCCACCTTAGTTCTTCATTTGAAGGAATCGGTAGTCCATTCAGTCAAATGAAAAGCTTTTATCCTCTGTATAATAGGTCCCTGGGTGATCAAACAAAGGTTGAAGACGTTTGTATGTCACCACTGAGTGCCATTGACAGTATATCTGAGTCTCATTCATTCTCAGCATTCCCTGGATCACCACCCCATTACCAAGAGGACATTCTTCACCGTCGACATAACTTAATGGAAGAGATTTTGCAATTATCTGCAGAGTCATATTCAGTTCCTTCCTCTGATAGCTATTCCAGCAACAGCGAGGATGACATCTTTCCATTTGAACCATTGATGCCAGAAATTATTCAACCTCCAGATGTTAAGTCGCTGCATGGAAGTGCTGAAGGTCAGTTGTCATTAGATCATGGTGAAGATAGTACTTCTAAACAATGCCGTGAACCTCCGCTAGTAGGAGAAAATGGCCTGTGCCTTTTTGATTCATCTGTTGATAAAATATCTAGCATGCAGAAGTCTGTTTGTCTAGGCTATAGTGTGCCGTTGGCAAGAAATGTTGTTCCTGATGACGCCCATGCGTATGGAACTGATCATTCTGTCAAATATGATTACAGTAATCAGAGGAAGAGAGAAGGCAAGAAGAAAGTGAAAAAAAGAGTTATTTCATTGTTGGGGAATTCCGTAGTTGGAACAACCAGCAGGGGAAAAAGGACAAGTTGTGATCCGAGTGTTTTTGGAGTTGATATGGAAATTGAACAAGAAAGTGAAAATTTTATTGAAAACTATTTCAATCTAAATATTGCGGATTCTGGAGTTCATGAAACTTGTCGGCAGTATCTCAATTGCATTTGTATACTTGATTCTGAGGTAGTGTACAGGTAGGTTACTTTGTAATTCATGTGGAAAATATTTTTTATGATCCCATGTTTCTTATTCATCAAAGAAATAAAAAGAAAGAATGTAGACACAAGTGCTTACTTGCTTGGCCTCTCAGCACCTTCTGATGAGTTTTTCATTGGCTTTTCCCCCTTCTTGAGAAATCTACCCCATTCGTAGTATCAGGACCGTTCCTCATCCTCCTCCCCAATTCATCGACTTGATTTAAATAGAAGTTTAGATCGTGAGCCATCTCTTGTATAGTGGTGGGATTATCTTGAATTTAGCACCACCCATTCAGGAAGAGTGGAAGAGAGTAGGCGTGGGAACAATGTGTGGCATGATTTTTCATTCGATGGTTAAATCATCGCCATTGGGGGTCTAATTTCTCTGCAAATGGTTTCAATTTCCATTTTCTTTGGGTTATATTCAATGCTAGTGAAGGGAATTGAACATATTGATTGTATTAAATGATGAGTTTTCCCAAAAGTTTTAGCGATTGGTCAGTGACTAATTTAAGTTGTATTATTTTTTCTAAAACATTCTCCCCTCTGTATAATTCTTGCTCTTCATTTTAATGAGGTTCAACATGGGTGCAGAATTTTGGGAATATCAGGGAAATAATGATAAAGATAGTTAAACTGACGAGTCTTGTGTAATATGATGTTAAACTGATACTAATTCTATGATAATTTAGCCATTTACATTAGCTTCTATGTAAACCGTAGCCATCTGTGGTAATAAATAATTATTTGTTTGAATTGTATTTATTTATGCCGAGTATCATTTGCTTGACATCATTTGCATACCAAATTGCAGAAAAGTGGTTCTTTTACTGAGTAGTAGAAACAAGTTGTATGTACTTAGTGTCCGAGCTGCTGGAGATGGTTCAGGTTGGCTTTTAATTCATTGCAGTTAACATATTTCAAAAAATAGGTTTTTCTGCGTATTGGTTTCTCAGGGAACCACTTGTGTTTCTTATTTGTTTATTTATTATTGTAGCTGATTGCTAACTAGAGTTTATCTGCCTCATAGGAACCATGCTTGTCTTATCAGATTGTCACAGCGTTGAAGATATTAGAGAGGTCTTTGTTGGCCTAGGACTTCAGGTTGTGAGGTTAGTGATTATTTTTGATAAATTCAGCGATTTTTGGATAGCTCACATAAGTTGAAACATTCTTCTTCTTTTCAATTGATATAGGGTTTGCATGGAGAGAGGCATAAAGTATGTGTTTGTAACTAGAAGCATTGAGAAATCAAGACAATTACTTCGTATGTTGCAAGTCTCTGGCATTGATACACCTAGTGACAAGAGCTCCCTAAGAAGGTAATCTTGCCATACCTTGTAATGTTAGTTTATTGTGGCTCTGTATGGACATGCATTAGTATATCTTACATGCATGAACATGGTGTGAGGTCCGTCCCCAATAGTAAATACCTTTGTTTGGAAGGGTAAAGTAGGGAATTCACCTGAAAGTTAGATAGAGCCCTTTATATCTTTTGTGATTCTGTTGTTGGGGGCATGATTGATTTATTTTGGAAGGGTTTGGGGTAGGAAGAGGTCCAGAACTCTCTAAAAGGTTGGAGGGACATTTTTGCTTTTACTTGTTCTTGCTTGTTTTTGTGGTTGGAATATCGATACATTGTAAGTGATACCTTACAACCTTGTAACAAGTTTATTGTGGCTCTGGCTCTGTTTGGACATGCATTAGTGTATCTTATATGCATGAACGTGGTGTGCATATTGGTGTTTGGATGTCTGAAGGCACAGTGAATATCCATCTTACATGGATTTGAGTTATTTATTCACAACCCCACATGTGCGCTTAGTCACACTAGCACTTTTGGATCTGTACTTTCCATCTCTATTGTGGTAGACTCAGGTTTTGGATATTTATCTGGCAGTTTGGAGCAGGTTCAGGTTGTATTGTTTGAAAAACAAATATGTGGAGGTGCAAAAGCTAACTTACTTCAATATTCTATGGTGCTTTTTCGTTGCAGTGAGATTCATGGTAAGCTCAACCCACCTCACTCACTCTTTCTTTTTTCTTTTTCTTTTTGAATGGGTCTTTGTTCATTTTGGAAGTATATTTTTGATGCAGTGTATAGTGAATCAGGCTATTTATTTTTTCGAAACAAAAGAGTTGTTGCTCCAGTGAAGCAACGAGCACTTAAAAATATATAATATAAGCTATAATTCGTTACTACAATGAAGTAGACAATATGTCAAACGTAGGATATGTATTAGAAATAAATATATATGAATATCACCCTCCATGGAGAACTTGGGTGGATCGATGGGTTTTTCATTTTGTATGTCTAGTTCCTTGTTTGTGATTACATATAAATATAATTTCCTTTCATGTTTTGACAAAAGTAAGTTTTCCTTTGGAAATGCAGGAGAATTGTGGCATCCTAGATCATTATTTATTTTTGGAAGGCATTTACTTGTGTGCATCGAGGATTTAATGCAATTCGGTTCTTTCTCAATTGAAGGATTGTTGCCTCCATACTTTGCACTCGATTCATGTTGTTTGATTGCCGACATACATGAGATGGTAACTTTCTGTAATTTACTGATTACGCATGTTTTATGTTGAAAGTATATCATCCTTCCTTTTGCTGCTAAGGGGTAGTCCAGTTGGCAAGAGCTTGAGATCTCTTGGTCATACTGGTTTAGAGGCCTCAAGTTCGAACCAGAGCTTAATATCAAAAACCCTTAATGTCTCTCGAGTCCGGGCTTTGGGACAGGCGCGGGTGCCCCTGAGTATAGGGGAGCAAAAGCTCCGACACCTAGTTATAAAAAAAAATGCATATCATCCTTAGTTGATTAGACATGCTTTCTGATACTTGACTCAACTCTTTAGCAGTTGAATCTTTTCTTTTCTCAGCTATTAGTAACGTTGATCTGTTTTATTTAGTATAACATTTTAGGCAAATTGTATTTGGGGTTCCTTCCCTCCAACTTTTGTCTCCGAACTTATTTTGTACTTTCTTGATCCTTAACTATGACCGTGACATATGTTGTTTAATTTGTGATATAAAGACTATTGAAAGAAAGAAGTTGAAAATATTAGTGCCGACTACCAAGGAGGATTTAATCTATAATGGCATGTAGTGACTTGAGTTGTAGGATGCACAAATTTGGGGGAAAGACAGAGAGTTGTTGATCATGGCTGGAATGTGATTAAAATTGAAATTGAAGATCAGGAATCTACTTGGTATTTAGAATCTAGCCGTCGATTGAAGTCGCACTCCGTATGGAATTAGGCTATCAACCTGTGCTTTTTATGTCCAATCTGATGTCGATGTTGATTTTAGCCATAAAGGTTTAAGTTTGAGATAGTTGTTGTCAAACAATCTTTTTTCTGAGATAGTCCAGTTTTACGAAATTTTAGGAAATGCAATTTTGATAAGACTTAGGCAGAAGCCCGCCCCTTATTTTTTATCCTACCACGTCCAAACTGGACTCCCATCACTTAGGCATGGGACAACAGGGATGAAACTGCTGTTGGGTGGTTAGGACACCCTAGTTTTAGAGATAAAAGAAGGGCGCGAACTTTTTGTACGCCGTATGCCAAATTTTTTAGAAAAAATTTCCGGTTGTTTTGGTAGACGGGGATGAAATTGTTAGAGTAGATGTTCCTTTTCGAAGAGAAGAATTGAAGTATAGTATTGAACAGGTCGGTGTAATTATTAAGTTCTATGGCGATGAATTCAATGTAGTCAGTGATCCTGGTATTGTGGAAAAATATGCAAGACGTACTCAATTAAGTGTTTATTTTGCTCATCCATAAAGAAGTAAAGAAGAAATCTAAAATTTAGCTTGATATTTTCCTCTCGTCTATTCTTTACCTTGTTTTTTCAGAAATGTTTTCATCATCCTTCTTTCTTAATGCTGTTGTAAGAGGTTATTAATCATGGACCATGTTACCAGGTCGTTGAACTGGAGGGGGCTCTATGTGTAACTTTATTTTTAGAATTTGCAACATCAGAGTTCTCCTTAATCCCCATTGAGGAGGTCGCCACCGTGAAGAAGAAGGATAAGTCATCGTCACGTCATATAAAATGGAAATTAAAGTGGTTATGTGAAAAGAGTCTACTGAATTTCATTGCACTGGCGAAGGCAATCCACCTGGGAAGTAAGGAGTCCCCCTTGCCTGTAAGATATGTATCATGATTGGGGAGGCTGGAGAAAAAGGTACATAGGCAATGGTTGTTCTTATGTGTTTTTTTGGTTTTGATTCAATTCATTCTTTTATTGGCTTTAGTGTGTTGTGAGTCTATTCTTTTTAGTGTGTGATCTTTGGATTACTACATATTCTACCATGTATATATTCTGTACAGTGTATTATAATAACACCATAGGAAGTCAAAATTCTTTATTTCCTTCTGGTTCAGTGTGTCCTTTTCAGGTTATGGAATTGCGTGTTTGCCTATTGATGAGACTTTTGAATTAAACGCCATCATAAAATTTCAGAAGTTCATACTATTTTTCTTGTTATGATTATGATGGGTCAAACCTTCACCTTCTAATCGGTGTTTTATTCACTGTGCTATGTGCTATGTTTAAATTGACGAAAATTAGCAATCAGGCTAAAAGATAGCATGCTTGTTTACAATAATTTCTTAAACGTTCTCTAGATAGTAAATATGTTAATAAATAACAAAGAAAATTCCAGGTATGTGGATTGAATTTGCAGGGGTTTTTTTAGTACAACATGGAGGTGGGGAGTGAACTCAAAATCTCTTGATTTGAGATATATTTCAATTATCACTGAACTATGCTCGATTCGGTTAGGCTTGGGTTTAGAATTTTGCAGTTAAAATTTGAAAACTATGAATTTGGTTAAATGTGCTCAAAATGCCCTCTTTCCCCTCCAAATTAATCAATCTACTTTCAGATTAACTCATGCGATAGGGCCAAGATACTTTGATTTTTTACGGTTTCGCAAACATGATCATGGATTACGTATCATACAGATAATTTGACTTGATGAATATGATAATTTATCTGATAAATAAATACTACTTATTCAACAAATTCGATTGCGTTCGGGAAGGATGAATCGCTCCCGAAAAGGAATCTATTGATTCTCTCCCAATTGGTTGGACCGTAGGTGCGATGATTTACTTCACGGGCGAGGTCTTTGGTTCAAGTCCAGGATGGCCCAGCTAAGCCAAGGAAAAGAATAAAAGAATAGAAGAAGCATCTGACTCCTTCATGCAGGCCCCCCTTTACCCGTATAATTCAAAATATTTTAGCAGAATGCAGGAAAGATGAACCCCACATCTATCCTAGAGAAAGAGGAAAATATATAACGGTTTTTTTTCTTAAATTCAAACATTTTTTCTAACACACTTTAAGAGTACTATACCATAATCAAAAGGTACTACATGCCTTAACTTCTGACACACTAAAAGTTGAAATGGAAAGTACAGTCCGTTCTTTATTAAAATATTATGGGATTTTAACATCTACAGTAATTCTGAAGGTAGGTTCTACTTTCGATGCTATCTGACCCTAGTATAGTTCTGTCCATTATCCTTTATGTTTTCCAATATAACCTTCCAGTAATGGGCGTAGTTCCCCTTCCTTGAAGTTTGTTGGATCACCTTATAGGTATGGTCCTCTATATACAGTCACATACTCACATACAGTGGCTATATAAAAGTGTCTACAGTCTAAGACATTCTATCTCCCCCTAAAGAGACACATAAGGCATGTTGTACTTTTTTAATATATAGTTTCGAACTACTCTACTCTTTCAGATCAAGACTAATATTAATCCAATAACTGTATCTACATTAATTCACACCCCTTCAGATTTAATTAGGAATTGATTATCCATTTTTTTGCTTGGTCAGATCAATAAGGTCATGAAAAACATTTTTATTTATTTATCTCTTTTTTTACTATATATAATGGATTTGCCTGAATTGATACATGATTTTCTTGTAGTCTTGTTGGGAGTACTATTACTTAACAACTCAATTTATTCTGCTTTTTTGTTGGGACTGGTTCTTCTAGCAAACGCCCAATTTGGGGGTAAAGCAGTTTCGCTCTTGCATGAGACGGCTTTTTGGGGAGGTAGATTTTATAGAAAAAGCTGTTGATTACTTGGGTCCGTGGCTTGTCACATGAGTTTGAATTTCACCCAGATGGCTCTGCCTTAACCTGTCCCCGACATTTCTATATGTGGATAAAATATTAAAAATATTAACAAAATTTTATTAATATAGATATAATATTAATATTAATAATTTTTATAATGAAAGATCCATTTGCTAATTTAAATATGATATTTACTGCATAAAATATATATATATATATATATATGACATTTACAATTTATCTATATTTTCATCAACCTTTCTAGACTCTATTTAAAACCTTGGTTACGTTAGATGGCTGGGCTGGGCTGTTTTCGGGTGGGCCTGAAAATTAGGTCATACGTAGCCTCTGTATGCACGCATATATGTATATCCTATACATTCGTTTCCGGTCATCGGGAGTTTCAACGGCGTCTTCAACCGATTATCTAGTTTTTGAAGCTTCGATTCCACTTTTATTCTTTGTTTTAGTCGTTGTTCTGGTTTGAATTCGTGTTAATGGCTATCAGCTAGCGTCACTGATGCGCTTGGCGTATGCGATAGCGCCATCTGCCCTTTTCGTTGCCAATACTTACTGACTCCACTCGAGTTAATGTACTGACGCAGCCGCCGTTTCTTCCACTAAATCTATCGCGGCTTCTGCTTTCGTATGCTCTAACATTCCTTACTCTCTGATTTTCCTGTTCTTTGATTTTTTTTTAGTCCATTTTGATCGTAATTTTTTGGTTTGCGATGGAAAACATGTTGAATCTGAAGTGGAAATAAGATTGTGAAATGTGTGGGAAGAAGGTGGTGTTTGAACAGTAGAGGGAATCGGAGTTTGTTAGATGAATTGATTTGATTTTTTTCGGGTTAGATGCTGTGATTCGATTCTGATCTCTTGCTCTCCAATGGCCGCCACCTCCATTTCTTAGTTTGGCCCTTCGTTTTTTAATGGAGAATTATTGTGCCCTAATTTCATGGTGAAGGGGACCTGTTTCTATGAAAGACGGATCCTCCTTTTATTTTCCCAAGGAAAAGAATTTCCGTGGTTAGTGGGTATTTGATGCCCTACTATGCATGGATAAGGAATTGGATTTCACAAATCTTGAGGATTACTTTTTTTTTTTTAATATCTTTTCATTTTCATTTATTGTATTCTTAATCTTAACTTTCATGTATTTGAAATTTAGGGTTGGATTCGATTTTTACTTTTGAAAATTATGCATTTTGATATTTTGGAATCCTTGGTCAAATTTCTCCCATAGGCTTTCATGGAAATAATAAAAGTGAGAAAAATTTAAAAATAGTAAAAGATACTTAAATTTAGGAACAAACATTTTTTTATTTTTAAATTAATTAAAAATAATTACTATTACGTGTATATTAATGATATTTTGGAATAAAAGTAGAAGATAAGAATTGATATGCCATCTCTCTAATCCACTGAGCTAGATGTCCATGCTTGCGGAGTTCCCTAAAACAAGGGAAAATTTCTAGTCCTAATTTTGTATATTATTACTTCTATTAAAATTTTACTTATTCTCCGCCTCCTTAAATTACTCTCTCTCTTTTCTAAATGCTTTCAATATAAGACTTATTATTATTATTATTATTTATTTCTACATCTGTCTTCTATTTTTTCCATTTAAATCTTTTTACAACTACTAATTATAATCCTTTTATTTTTGGATTGACGAGTTATTTAATTATTTTAAAATAAAGTTCCATTTTTTCTTCTGTCGAATTCTAACTTTGATTTTGGTATTAATGGTCAATTAAGATGTGCTGGTTTGTTGCCTCTACGTCTAGAAAATACATCTAAAAGAGTATTTAGAGTATACTATTTTTCAAATTTTTTTTTACAGTATTTAAAAATTATGTTTGCTCTAAACTTTAAGAATGAAGTAATACCCATTGGTTTCAAGTTTACCGGTTTGTGCAAGATTATTGATAATTTATTAGGTACATAATTAAGAATGTGTTTGAGAGTGATTTTGACCATACAAAAAAATCACTGGACAAAAGAACTTCCCTCCCCTTGACAAATTAAGAAATGCTTAAAATTACTTTAGAAATTAAGAAATTGATTTTAGAAATCAATTATACTTAAATTTCTTTTTACTATTACTTCCAAACACATTGGTCGGTAGTTTGTAGTTTGTTTCATTTACCAAGTGTAGATTTGTCATAAAATTGCATGTTCACGTTACTAAATTTCCAGAGAAAATTACATGAAAGAAAACATTGAATTTGAAGTATTGAACTTACACGTGAAAAGAAAAAAACTGGAAGAAAAATAGGAAAACATTTACTCGTGTCTTTGAGTTTGAGTTTGAGTTTGGGTTTGAGAAGAACTCCTCCAAAACCCGGTCTGAGAGAACTGGCCCCACATTTCCTCTTCTAAATGGATGAGGTCGTCGGCCGATTTGGGACCGGGTTCGGCGCCGGGGACTTGTGGTGGCACCTGATCAAATCCTCCAATTCCGCCGGGCCCCTCCGATCCATCTGTAAACTCCTGAGAGGCGCCCCTCCGCTGCTGAATCAGACGCTTCTTCTTCATTTTCCCGTGTCGCTTTCTACTTTTCAACGCCTTCCGGCAAAGCCCCGCCGGCATCTTGTAGATGGCAAAGATCACGATGTTCATCACCGTCAACGGGCAGCAGCAGCATATCGCCGTACATTCGGCCGCCGAACCCCCGGCCACCTCCGCAAACTGCCGCCTCTCTCTCGGCGCATCGAGTTTCTCGTCCTTGAGCGACGATTTGTAATGGCCGATCGCCGGAGATCGGAGGAGGACCTTTCCAGTCATCAAGACGCGATCGATCCGAATTAAATCCTTCAGAATATAATGTGGATTTCAAAATCGAAAGGTGCGCAAGGAAGAATCGAAGATATGGAAAACCTAATGTTTCCGGTTCCAATCGATGTGTGTACGCATCATCTCTCCCCGGAGAAAGGGAGATTAAAGCAGAGCGAGCGTCCGGCGGTGGTTAAATGTGCGCGTATTGTACTCGGAATGAAGGTTGGAACGAGGAAGATTAAGGGGAGATCGAGAGATAAAGAAGGGCGAGAGAAAATTAGGTTGTTTACGTTGTGAAATCTACTAATCTCCACCAAAAACACCGAAAAAAGAGGAGGAAATGGATGGCATGGGGTGGAGTTGGACTTAGAGGATTTATCAGAGGGACCTTAAAAACGCGTACGACTCCCCGCGATTTCTCTTCTTCTTGTTCATACACCCATTGCTATCAGTAACACACCACCGGAGAAGCAACACGCGACAGAGATGAATAAGAAAATCGATAGGATTTTTTTACTAAGAAAAGAAACCATCCACCGTAGATATTCGAATTCACGACATCGAAGATATATATCTTAACTTTTTGGATAATAGTCCGATTAACTATATATAAGCAAAGGTTCTTATTTAGTGACACATTTTTATATTTCTATTAGTTCGAAATTTTTAGCATATTTACTTATCTATTAAATATTGTAGAAATATAATAGACTAAAAGTAAGCTATACTAAAAGGTAAGTAGGAATTTCATCGATGTGTAAGTAAGTATTGTTATTTTAATACGATACTAGTATACTAGTGAAGATTCAAACTTTTAAATCACTTTTAATCTTGATTAAAAGTATTGAGTTAGATTCCAATGGTTGATTTTAAGCCAACCAAAATATAATTCACCAAAAAGAAAAAAAAAGTCTTGGACACATGGTACTAAAAATATATATATGGAATTATATTTCTACTCTCTTTGTGTTTAGGTTTTCTTATTTTTATTCTAAATATTTAATTTAGTCATAAAAAAATTAGGGTTATTTAGACAAAATATATATATATATATATATATATATTTTTTTTTTTTTTTAAGAGTTATTATGCTAACCTTTTTACAAGTCATTTTTTTTAGAAAATAAGTTTACAATTTTTTTTTAATGGTTACAATTATTACAAATCTTATACGTAGTTTAGAGAAACCATATTTTCAAAGAAGCCATACAAATTTTTTTTTTCCAGCAATGTGGAGAAGAAGCTTAAAAATGAAGCAAAGAGAAGCCAAGCATTGACATGTTATTCTGCACTTGCAAATTCGAAGTTGAATTAATTTTATCTTGATTTGGTATTTCGATTCTAAGCCAAATAAAGGAATAAAATGCTTTGTTTTAGTGGATAGCCCTTCACATTATAAAAAAAATTGACATCTTAAAGTGACTCGGCATCGAATTTTATGGTTGTAGATGCCTTGATCCGCTTTTATAACACATGGTATTATGTATGAATTGACATCAAAACAAGTATGATGTTTCGACCATTGAGCTACGTTCTGTTAGCTATAAACTATAAATCGGTACTACATAAATTAAAACTATATAATTGATTAACTATCGATCTACTTTATTATCTCTTTCTTATGGAGCACAAATTCCTATATCCCTTCTCTCTGTAATATAATTTTGTTAAATTATGCAAATTTAAACTAGTGAACTACATCATTTCAATTATAAATGTGTTTGGTTGGATTGAGTTCAAATAAATGGAGAGTTAGTAATCTAGATTTAATATTTCAAAATAAGTATATATATGTTTAAGAAATTTTAAATAAGTGACTCAAATAAACCAAACTCTAATATTTTATGGTTAAATTGGGTTGGAGTTTGACAACGGTAAGAGAAATTTACGATTTGAACAATTTGGTTGGGTCTAAAAAGTATCTCAACCCAACGTGGACCTATCAACACTAAAAATTTTGGTAGATAAAAACTTCATAAAAGCTTATGTTACGTAGCATATCAAACTAAATTATTTATCAAAAACAATAGTCTGTCATGAAGGGTTGATAGTTCTTCTTGGATCTAAAAACTTTCACGTTTAAAATATTATTTTGGTCCCAATATTTTTAGCTTTGATTCATTTTGTTTTCTATACTTTTAAGTTTTATTCATTTTAATATATGTATTTTCAAAACGTCCATTTTAGTTCAGGTACTTTTAAAAAAATACCACTTAAGTCTACAATTACAAAATTGTTCAATTTACATCTCATTAAAATCGTTAAATACAAATTTATGACTACATTTCAAGAAATCTAGTGACTAGAATGTAGTTATAAAATTATAACGAAAATAAATGAAATAAAAGTAAAAATGAAGAGACCAAAACAATTATTTTTCAGAAGTATGTATATGAAAATAAATTTTAGAAGTATATATTAATGTTAGAGACTATAATAAATCAATTTTAAAATTACATCGATTAAAATGAACAAAATGTCGGTAAAAAGAGTGTTTAAACCAAATTTGTTTGTGTTTCTGATTTTGATAGAAACCTTTAAAAAAGAAAAGAAGAAAAAAGGGAACAGGTGGAGAGTGGGGAGTTCAAAATTTAAAATCGCACTCAAACGGTCTAAATCCAAAGAACTAAAATTGAATCCTCGAAACAATCTGGACCGTCCATCGCCTCACTCGTCTTCCAATTTCCCTCTCTTTTAGAAGATCCCCCATTTTTCAAATTGCTCGAATCACTGCTCCGCTCTCTCTCAAGTCGCAGTAGCCTTCTCTCCCTGTTGGGACGCTGCATCTCCGACAATTTCATCCACGAGAAGAAATTCTTTCAAGCTTTCACAAGCAATGCCGTTCTTATCGGACACGGCCAGTGCAATCAAGAGCCGCTTCGGGTTTCAGGATCACACGTTGAACAGTGCGAATCCGCCGCGTGGTTCTCCGGATTTTCTTAAATCGGCGTCCAAGGAGAGTGTCGCGCCGCCGTCGGCTATACGGAGTATTAGCCAGTTCAACGATGAAGATGCAGTCGGTGACGTTGCTGGATCGTCGAGCCAGAGCTTTGAGCTTCGAGAAGATCCCGCGTTCTGGAAGGATCACAATGTGCAGGTAACTTTAGGGTTGTTTGGAATTCTAAAATTTTGTGGAATCACTAGATAGTCTCGGCTGTTGAACACTCACTTTATACGACCAAATATACAATTGGAAGTTTGGACTCGCCTAACCCATATGTTCTATCTGAGTATTTGGAGCTTAGGAGTTCTCGGAATGATGAATTGTTTGGTATGGGTGGTTACCTGGTCATGGGGAGGTAGTATTGGCTGCCACTGTTAGTGCTTATATGCTGTGTTTTGAGGGTTTATTACCTCAGCTTACCTCCGCAGGAAATCTTGATATATTATTAATGGAGATATTGCTTCTTATTATATTTCTTTTGAGAACTATCTAGATCTCATGTTTTATCTGATTATTTGGAACTTATGGGTTCTTGGAATGAAGAATTGTTGATGAGGTATGGGTGGTTACCTGTTCATGACGAGGGAGCATTAGCTGCTAGTGTTTGAAGGTTCTTTACATGTCGTGTTTGAGGGTTAATACTCCAGCTTACCCATGCAGGTGATCATAAGGATTCGCCCACTTAGTAGTTCAGAAGTATCTTTGCAAGGCTATGGAAAATGCATTAGGCAGGAGAGCTGCCATACTGTTACATGGACAGGGCATCCTGAATCGCGCTTTACTTTTGATTTAGTTGCAGACGAGCATGTCAGCCAGGTAGCTTTCCGAACGATAATGTACTCTCATTGCACTATCTGTTCATTGGGACTTAAGTTGGCAATATAACAGGAAAATCTTTTCAAAGTGGCTGGATTACCAATGGTGGATAACTGTGTGGGGGGCTACAACAGTTGCATGTTTGCGTACGGACAAGTAAGTTATTCAACTTTTCATTCTCGGTTCTGAATATTGGGTAAAGCTTCTAGCATTTTCTTCTGAAGAGAAAATTTTGGAAATCTCTGTGTACCACTGTAAGATCTGGTGTGACTGATGATGAATTTTATTTGAGTACATTCTTTTGTGCAAGTATTTACTTTCCAATTTGAGGTTCAATGATTAGATTTTGTATCTTTAGACTGGAAGTGGAAAGACTCACACCATGCTCGGAGACATTGAGGGAGGTTCACGAAGACATAGTGTCAACTGTGGGATGACACCCAGAGTATTTGAATATTTATTCACGAGAATCCAAAAGGTATGCATCTCTTCGCTATCACTTAATTGAAGATAGAGAAAATTTTCATTGAAAAGGTCCTCTAGCAGATTGATACCAATCCCTTTTAGTAGTTATACTGAATAAATATTGCAAGTTTTTGGGGGTAACAGTTATTAACTCGATTGTGATGATCAGGAAAAAGAGGCCCGCAAAGATGAGAGGTTGAAGTACACGTGTAGATGCTCATTTCTGGAAATATATAATGAACAGATACTTGATCTATTGGATCCATCATCCACCAACTTACAGGTAAAAGTAATATTCAATGTGGAATAGAATCAAAATGATTACTAATAGGAATAGCCTGAATTAGTAACTTTTTTCCCTCCATTTTCTTCCCTCGTTTTGATTCATGAATTTATTTGGATCAGTCATTTAAATTTTATATTACCACTTATATAGTTCAATTTGGTGTGGATGTGGAATATCAATTTTTTTCTGATACATTACAGATTAGAGAAGACAATAAGAAAGGGGTCTATGTAGAGAACCTCAAAGAGATAGAAGTTACAAGTGCTCGAGATATTCTTCAGCAACTTATTCAGGTATTTTCTGAATGGTATTTTAAAGTTCTGCAGGTTATATGTTTTGAATGATGGACTGGAATCATTGAACTTTTTCAGACCATTCATATATACACGTCGGTATAAAAGGTTCAAAAGATTTCATCATAGACATGGTTTGCTAACTTCTATTGTGCAGTTAAAGTGAAAGTTAACTATGGTTTCAGGGTGCTGCAAACAGAAAGGTAGCATCAACCAATATGAATCGTGCTAGCAGTCGTTCCCATAGTGTATTTACATGCATCATTGAAAGTAAGGTAAATTTCAATATTCAAGTTTTATGAAGAAAAATTTATAACCATTTTGATGCTTCCATTTCAAAATTATTGACGGTAAATAAAATCTTCTGTAGTGGGAATCCCAAGGCGTGACTCACCATCGTTTTGCTCGACTTAATCTTGTTGATTTAGCCGGATCTGAAAGGTAAATGATCCATCTGAATCTCTAGTTGAATGTTAATTTTCTCCTTCCGCCCCCTTCCGCTATTCTACTGTTGCAAACAAAGTAAGTAACTAGAAGAGAACGCAGTTCACTCCTGTCAAAATTTTTATGATAAGAAAAAACAAATTTGCTGTTGCGTTTAGGTTTAACATTTTGCACCCTGCTATCATATTATCTTTGCTTTTGTTTTTGCTTGAATGTCTTGAAAGGGTAAGGAAGCAAATATATGTACTTCATCTTTATAAGTAATTGAAGTATTTGATAACTCATAACTTTAAGAAAAGAAAGTATTAATTAGTTTCACTTGCTTCTTTTTAGCATTACTTCCACCTTCGTATATGATATTTTTATTCTTGAGCTTTATATATGAATCCTAATCAGGCAGAAGAGTTCTGGAGCTGAAGGTGAACGTCTTAAGGAAGCTACTAATATTAACAAGTCTCTTTCTACATTAGGGTATGCTTTTTAAGCTTTTATCTTTAATTTGTAAGCTTGTAGCAAGCAAACTAATTTGCTCTACTCAAGTATTTTGACTACGGAACGTGTTTGGCACCTACAGGCTCGTGATAATGAACCTAGTGAACATATCCAATGGGAAGTCACTTCACGTACCTTACAGGGACTCCAAGCTTACATTTTTGCTTCAGGTAGGGCGTGATGAGAATTGACAGAGCATTAAAATGCAAATGAGTTTGTTATATCAATGAAATTATATATCGAGATACTAAAGATGAGCATCATAATTTCTTTCAATTATTCTATGCAGTAATCTGGGTAAGCTTGCATAATATTAAAAAAGTGAGAAATACTACATAATGTTCTTTAGTTCGTAGAACTAATATATTTTTGGCGCATGAAATGTGCTCGGGTTTCTTTGTCATACAGTTTTTCCTGAATTTGTATTGTTATTCTGATACCTTGCAACAAGTATGAAGCTGAACAAATTGCTGGCATAGGCTTAATATATTAAGTATCTTTTTTTTTTTTTTTGATGAAATCAATTTTCTATTAGCACAATAGTAATTGCTTAATTACAGGTATATCATTTGTATTAGAACGCAGATTTATGATTTATGATATTAAATTTTCGAGCTGCTTGCTATCTAATGTTTACATGTTTTAGAATAGTTCATGTACAAGTGCAAGAGTGTAATTTTTGTTTTGTTTCTAATTATGAGCTTACTGCAACTTACAAGTTGTTTTGTGGCTTCAGGATTCTCTAGGAGGGAATGCAAAAACGATCATAATTGCAAATATCAGTCCTTCAAGCTGGTTAGTGAATTTCTATTGTACTAATTCCCGCTTAATCATGTCGACAACTTTTTTGGGGTTTCAGGGTTTTTCTCCTGTATTATCCTCGCTTTTTCCTTTTCTTTCTGTATGCAATCATATCCTCTTTTTTTTTTCCATTATGCTTTCTGAATCCTTTAATGCTTTGTTATGGGTCCTTGCAGCTGTTCTTTGGAAACGCTAAGCACGTTGAAGTTTGCACAACGTGCTAAATTTATAAAGAACAATGTATGTCTTTAAGTCTCTTTTTTATGATATCTTTTCTCTGCTTATTGAATGAAATATGCACATAGTAGACAGCACGGGCTCGCCATCCACTAGATATTTATGTTATCGTCTTTCGCAACTAAATGTTATGTTATCAATAATTTTCTTCAGTGCTCATCATGAAAATGTTGTGCCTTTAATCAGGCAATCGTGAACGAAGATGCTTCTGGAGATGTAATTGCCATGAGGCTACAGATTCAACAACTCAAGGTACCAAGATGTCTATTTCGAAAGTGGCTCGAATTCTTTCTTCTGGCCTGTTACATTTTCTACATGGAATTGGAACTGGATATTAAGAACAGACTAATTAACAGCTGCTTCCGAGTTAAAAAGCAAAAGTTGTGCTTGTTTGGGTTATTGCTAGTAGCATAGTACTTACACAGTCTTGTGAAATTTTCAGAAAGAAGTATCCAGGTTACGTGGTTTAGCTTGTGGAGGAGGAGATAATCAAGATAACGATAGTTTTGCAGCAAGCTTTCCGGGATCTCCAGGAACCATGAAATGGGAAGGACTTCATGGAGCAATGAGCCCTCTTACAACTGGTAAAAGGATGTCTCAGGTACTGACCGTTAGCTCTTAAGCTTGAACCTTGAGGAACTTATTTTACAATTACTTATTTGCTATTAACTTCGATGTATTTCAGAGAAGAGACTATGAAGTTGCCCTTGTTGGGGCCTTTAGGAGAGAAAAGGATAAGGATATGGCGTTGCAGGCATTGGCTGATGAAAATCAGGCAGCAATGCAACTGGTACGTAAACCAGAGTACTGTTGTTTCTTAATTCATGGCTGAACACTTCCCCACACAATTATTTCCTGTCATCAATGAAGATTAGATAGTGATGGAGCAAAGCCATGGAGGTTGGCAATTTCTTTCATAGATAGAAGATATCTGGTTTCTCATTGTTGACAATTCCTGTTTGGTATGACTAGGCCAAGCAAAGAGAGGATGAAATACAAGGTCTTAAAATGAGACTGAGGTTTCGAGAAGCGGGAATAAAAAGGTTGGAAGCAGTTACTTCTGGAAAGATCTCTGCAGAAACACACTTACTGAAAGAAAAGGAGGAACATTTGAAGGAAATTGAGGTTTTGAGAAATCAGGTAGATCGAAACCAAGAGGTGACCAGATTTGCTATGGAAAACCTGCGTTTGAAGGAAGAAATTAGAAGGCAGGTTCTTTCTAACAACTTCAACGGTCTTTCTTCGCGCGAATAATTTCTTCACTAGCACACTATATGGAGATAATGAATAGAACACATTTGGAACATAGGAGCCTTGTTTTTGTACTTGTTTTGACAGTGTGTCGGTACACCAATCACCGAGGTATAGATGTTTACAAGTGGAGCTTGTCATAGTTCAGGATCACATGGAATTATTTTAAATATAAGAAATCAACCGTCACACAGAAGTGGAACTTATCTTGAACTTTGAGACAAGAGATCCATATTTTAGAAAATATATACGATACAATTAATCTAATTTCTGCATCATCAGTAATTTTCTTTGTTATTTTCTTGTCTAAGCTGCATTGATCTACAGGTTGAAGTCATTTTATGAAGAGGGCGAACGGGAGATGGTGCATGAACAGATCATGGTATTAGAGAACAAGGTAAAAGTTAAAGAGAATCCTTACATTATTTTAAATTTTTAGAACTTATAGTCATGTATTTTAGCTTCTAATGGGACTATGTTTCTTGCAAGCAAACCTACAGTTACTGGAAGCACTAGATTGGAAACTTATGCATGAATCAGATCCCTCGATAATCCAGGTACTTCTACTACAAACTTTTTTTTTTCTGAATTTCATGGTGATTTACCATTCTATCAAATATATTGCTAAGCCCTAATCTTCTTTATGTTAATGTTATACTGTAGAAAGGAAACTCGGGCGTCATAGCAGATGTCGATGATGATAACTTTCTTATTACCAATCAGGTTAGACTGAGTTATTATCACACTTTCTTTTCCCCAATATAAGAAGATTCCTATTTTACTAGAAAGAATCGAGCAAGTGGCTTGACCAAATTAGGATAGTTTATAATTGATTGAATGCTGAATTTAATCCTTTTTCTTTACCATTTTTTCTTATTATTGATGATAGCTGAAAACTGTAGTAGCTTATAGAAAAAGTTGTCTATGATTACTTTTATTTGTGGAGAAAAGAGAATTGGGGCTTTAATTAATAGCCATGTAACCAGTTTACATTTCTGCCATAACTTTTATTCCTCAAGAATCATTTACTTCTAGAGAATGAGTTTTCACGGTTCTTTGCTCATCTTTCTAATATAGGAGCGGGGATCACCATGGAAATCTTCAATTAATGAGGAGAATGAATTCCTTCGCATGCAGGTGGTACACTATTTACAATATGGGTGACTATATGGAAGAAGCTTAGTTTCAGTTTCTCAAATATATTCTACTTGATTGCTAATTGTATTTCTAGACTCTGATGATGTCGATATTATTGTTCTAGGCCATTCACAACCAAGACGAATTAGATACACTTCGCAAGAAACTTGAATTATGCGTGGAAGAAAAGGAAACGTTGGAAAGGTAAATATTATTATATGCTCTCTGTAAAAAGAGTTTTACATTGGTCTGTTTAACTGACACTGCCACGTAAAGGTTATGTTGAAATGAAATAGAAAGGGTTAGTTTGGGAGACTCTTTTACAACTGTCGCCTTCTTTTCGACTTATTATGTTCTATCGGTTATACTATTGTGTCCTTGAGTTCTAAAATGATGGCAATTATGCAGGCGTGTAGATGAATTGGTAGCAAAACTCGAGTCTAAGGGACATACTGGACCTGTGGATGAAGCTAATCAAGTTGCGCTTCCTTTGGCAACAACTGACATGTCCATCATCAATTTTAGTGACCAAATGGAGTTAAAGACCATGGTTGACGCCATTGATGCTGCAAGCCAAAGAGAAGCGAGTGCTCACGAAACAGCAGTAAAATTGTCTAAAGAGAATGATGAACTGCGGATGAAGCTAAGAATTTTAATAGAGGATAACAATAAACTCATCGAACTGTACGAAATGGCAGCTTCAGAAAGCAAGTACGGAAGTGTAAATAAAGATGAAACTGCACAGAATGATGCTAAAGCAGTTGAAACTTCCAATGAAAAAGAGGATCATGAGAAAGAGGTTGAGAAGCTACAGCAACAGCTTGTGGAAATGCACGAGGAAAATGACAAGCTAATGAGTTTGTATGAAGGGGCCATGCAAGAAAAAGATGAGCTCAAAAGGATGCTTTCTTCTGTTGAACGCACAAAAGTTGACACCAGAGGAGAATCTGATTGCATCGAGAAGTTTGTTGAAGTTGATGACGGGATGAATAAGGGAAATGTTGAACCTCTCAACCCCAATGAAGCACAAAATTTGGTTTGCCAATCTATACCACCTGACATGGAAATACAGATGCATGTTGGAACTCAGATGGAAATCGAATCGCCAGCTCTTATTGAAGAAATGTTGCCAGTGCCAGAAGATTTAAGTTTGGTAAGAAAGATGCTCGAAAGAGCAGATGAACAGCTTTCAGATTCAGCCAGAACTGTCACTGTATTAAGTTCACTTGAGAAGATGATATTTGAGGCTGATAAACTGTCGAGACAGGTAGACGTTGTGGAAGATGAAGTTCAAACGAAGCAGAAGGAGGTTGAATCTTTTAAACTCATCTTATCAGAAAAGCAAGAAAGTAGAGATCTCGCAAAGAGTAAGTTTTGTGCTCTGAGATACTCTCTGACTAACTTCTCTTCTTCAATACTTTATTTTGAACAACGAGAAGCAAGGGCAAGAGCAAGGGCACATGCTTCAAAGTCTAATTTGGATCAGAGGAAAAACGAGTTGGCATTCCTTCAAGCACGCCGAGAAGAAATTGAGACCCGACGTGTGAAGATCCAACAATCTGAAGTGGAACTGAGGAACAACCTTGCAAGCTTAAAATCCAAATTAGATGAAGAAAGTGAAAAACAAGAAAATGACAAGGTCCTCTTTGCAATAGATAATGTTGAAAAAACAGATTGCCAACCTAAGAACTGGCAATTTAGTGGTCGAGCCACAGATTTACTCAAGTCTGCAGAAGAGAAAACGAAGTTGCAAAATGAGATAAAGCTAGCCAAAGAAAAACTTGGGGTCATAAGAAAGGAACTTGAAGATTTGACAAGAAAAGCTAGAAAGGTTGACAGTGATATTGAAGCTGTTCAGTTGGAGGTACAGAAAGCTTCATGGTCGATCGACGAGATGGAAGTTGCACTTCATGGGGTAATCAATGAGAAGGAGACCTTGCTGGAAATTAGAGACACTGGAATAACAGAATTCGAGAACATAATTTTGGAGTACCAAGAGTGCCTGTTTGAAGCAGGTCTGAAGGAGGCAGAGATAAAACTTCTGGAAGAAGAACTGCAGATAGAACATAGAAGGATGGAGGAACTGGTAACTGCAAGATCTGTAGCCATCCAAAAAACAAGCCAATTATTAGAGGATACCAGGCATAACTCAATCTTCTTATCTGAAAAAATGGAAGAAGAGCTCAGAAGCATTCACTCTACAGTCATGGAGGCAAAATTACTGTTAGGGGAGGGAAATTTACATCACAGTTAAGTTTTCATTTAACTGCTGCCACAATTTCTGTATATTTGCAGGTGAAAGATGATTATGGATTATTGATGATCCCCTTGTTATAAATTGTTTTCAACTAACTATTCTAAACATGTTTGTTTGAGAAAAAAGATAAGTTTTTTTTTAATATATATATATATATATATCACGTAAAAAGATGGAACTGAATCATTACCTCCTGAGTTGGATGGAACACAATATCAGAAATTACATTGCAAATGGAGAAAACTTATAACTCAAAAGTTCTCACAGCCGTCTGGAATATCCAGAACCCCCACATTTTTTGCAGAATATCAATCCTACAAAGAAATTATAACTCAAATTAGATAAAGCTACTAGATTATTTCAAAAAATTGAATACTCAAGATAACGAGTTAATAACTAAAACATACCACATATACTAAAATATTTTTTTAAAAATCAATATATTTTAAGGACCCATTTGGTCTCTCTCTTCTAAAATTCGATCTCTCTCCTCTAAAACTAATCTCCCTCTCTCTCTCATTTCTTTGTTTTTTCCATGTTGTTTGCTTTTTTTCTTTGTTTTTTTAATGTTGTTTGCTTTTTCTTTGGTCCGTTCTTTCTTTTTTCTATTTTTTCCTACTATTTGTTTTTTCTTGGTGCTTTGTTATTACTTTTTTCGTTAGTTTTTTTCTTCATTCGTTATTTGTTCTTTTAATTTTAGTTATTATCAAAAACTCAAATTTCTTTTCTACCCATAAATCTAATCAATGTTGAGCGACAAATTAACTATACCCCTTCAAAAACTCAAAAAGAAAATTTTAGAACTATAAATTTGAAGAGCTAGAGCAACTTTTCTTTTGAAAACAATAAATTGTCTAGAATTATTTTTGAATAATTTAACTTAATAAAAATAAATTAACTACCAATTATTTATTTAAAATGATCTAATGTAATTGGTTGAAAGCTGATTTTGACTAATTTTAAAACAAATCTAACATCATTCCCCTCAACAGCCCCTCAACAGCAAGCACATTAATCATTTACATCCAGAAAATTCTATTAACATTTCCCTACACAACCTAGATATCTTATTTCCAGTCATCTTAATCCCAGACTACTTTGTAAAACCTCCAATCAAAAAAGCCCCAAATACATGAATGGAGAGGGGAAAAAAACAGAGAGAGAACTTGCTGATATTGGATTTAAATTGTGATGAGGAAAAATGAACTAATGATGAAATTGATATGAAACGAAGTTAAAATCCAAGGCAAGAGGTAAAAAATTCAGTTGGAGATTCAAAATTTAATATATTTAAAAAAATACTTGCACCCTACCAAGAATAATGGGAATTTATAGCAAAAATGGCAACCAGCTAACAATATCTCTTTAAATTTAAATTTCAAACTTATTAAGGCAAATTTCTTAATATAAAAAAGATGGGAAGCCTGATCTGGCCATTATGGGAATAACAACTAAAAATAGCTCAATTTTGATAAGCCTCTCTCTCTCGGTCATTGAGTATAACTTCTACAAACACATATAAAAGATCTACATGTGAATAAAATAAGGTCATGTTATGTAACATACGGAAAATTATTACTCGCTACTTAGAAAGCAACAACATAATCTTAATGACATCTCTTCAGGAATTTTCAGCTAGAAGAAGTATATATTTCTTTTCCAATAAGTAGTAGGACACGGGCAGGTCATCAGTTGCAGTGAAGATTTTGATTAACGAACTATAACAAATAATGGTCGGTGTAAGTCATAAATGTTCTGCCAAAGCGAATATAGTCCAACGGTTATTAGCACATATCTCCAACTAAGAGGTTGTGAGTTCGAACCTAACCTCCACCCGCACATGTTGTATTAAAAGAAAAGTCATAAATGCTCTACACAATCAATTAACTTTGAAAGTATAGGAAGATAAGTAAATACCTGCACCCTTACACACCTTGCAGTCAATTAATCCCGACTGTTGTTGCATCTTTCCATTGTCACAGAAGACACATTTTGTGCCACCTGCATATGGACATGGTTAGCCAAACTTTCTAGTAAGGAGATGTTTAATAATCTTTGAGAGACAAAAGCATTCGTGGGAAATTAGCCTCTGATTACCAACCATACCAAATAGCAATTAAATTGATTCTATATTTGATGTGATCCGCAAATACTAGACTTCCTCAAATGTTGCTAATTATAGGTCATGTTAACAAGTTATATAAATATTGGATGAAATATTAACATAATCTACCTATAGATGATGGGCAAGTGATGTCCCCACTCCCATAACTCCATTTGCTGGTCTAAGGTTATAAATAACTTATAACCAACTATGTAAAAATTTAGGTTATGAATATGATAAAGTTGTTCTGCTGAACTAATGCCAAAATACGTATTCCTTATTTGATGCATCCGAAGTTGAATGTTCGCAGAGCAGTTGAAAGCAGGGATTTTATGTGTTGTAAACCACTCAATCAATGATAATAGATAAATTTAATCCTATGCTAGAAGACGACCAAAACAATATAATAATCTAGTGAAGCTGCAATTGGGATGGGGGTCGTCATAAACATTAACAAACTTTGCCCCTTTCTTAAAATTGAAACGAATGTAACTCAGAAACAAATTAAAGCGTGGTTGGTTACTTACCATTTCCAGCACAACGCTCACAAGGCATAGGACCACCCTGCAAAAGCCGAACCAACAAATTCAAGCATTAAAAACCCTAATTCTCGCAACTTTCAGGCCAGAAACATATCAGGAGAGAGAGAGGGAAGGGAGTCGAAAGAAATGTCACCTTAAGACCAAGAAAGAGGGAGAGAGAAATGGCAACCAAAACGCTGAAAGTAGCAAGGAAAGTTTGGGTGTCCAATGGCGCGTCGAAGGTATTGAAGAGCAAAATGGGATGGATGACTGGGGCGATCGGGTGTATGGCGGCGGCGGAAGTGGAGCAGGCGGAAGAAGCAGTAGTTGCAGCAGAAGCAGAGGCAGAAGAAGAAGAGTAGAGAAGCGGAAGTTCGAGCTTGAGTAATGGAAGTTGTGGGAGAAGGTGGAGAGCGGCCGTGGAAGGTAGCGCAGACATGGATGGAAGAAGCAACGGAAGTGGCGAGCGGATGAGGCTATGATGAGGGATAATCGAATCCTCATTCCATAACTGAATTCTCTATGGCCCACTCCATATTTTAATTTTTACCGCCTAAATTACATAATTACTCACCCCAAAAACCCTTCAATTTTGCAGCCAGTTTTAAATATGCCCTTTTTTTAGAATAAAATATGCCTTTAATCTTTTAAAATTCCAAGATTGAAAATATTTTGGTTATGATTCAGCTTGAAGGGATTCGTGGACTCTTTTGACGGGTTGCTCTCGGTTACTTGTGGAATCGGATTCTCTTGGTCCCCGAACGGATGTGGACTCACGACATCCAATTTCTAGCGATAAATTTTGAGTTCATCCAATTCGTGCCTGTTAATCGGCACTACAATCGTCTTGTATATTTGCTTGCTAAGAGTTATTTGCGCTCTTCGTCTTCATGCTTCTGATTTCACAATATCTCTTGATTACATCTTGGAGAGGATGATGTAATTTCACATTTTGCCCAGTGACTTAATGATATTTATCTCTTAAAAAAAAATTGTTTTTTGTCGTATACTTTTAAATTTGTTTTATTTTAGTACGTGTACTTTCGACATATTTCGTTTTGATCTACTTTTAAAAAGTAATTATTTGAATTGTTTTATTTTATTGTTTAATCTCATTTCTCTTATTACAATTTCAGCATAACATTTCAAATCAATATATTTCTTAAAATGTAAATATTACTATATACTAAATAGTTTTATCTAGATGTAAAAATTGTATTAAAATTTTAGAAAAAATGAACTAAATTGATCACTTTTTAAAAGATACGAATGAATATTTTCAAATAAACGAGAGTGAAATATTATTTGAACTAAAGTTTTAATACTATTTTTAATCCTCTATAAATATTAAGAAAAAAAAACAAAATAATTTTGAATAGAATATCACGTAATCATAGAAATAATAACTGGAATAATTTCTTTAAAATGGAAATTAAAAAAAAATTAGCTAGACAATGAGAAATAAAGTCTATTGATAAAAGTTTATATACTATTTGTCATAATAACATTTTCATATATACCAACGTAGCATAATTGACACATCCTCTAATCAACAGCCGCACCACTGGGATATGAAAAAAAAACATTTCCATATGTATATGAAAATCGTTCTCAGTTAAACGCAGCGTTTTACACGGCCCACATTCACTTGCGGGATATTTGGTAACCGGATAGTTTTGCTTTTGCGGTTGGGGTTCCGACGCTCAGGCTAGGCTACGGCTTGTTTACTTTGCCGAACGACATGTCGTCTGAAATTGAATCCAAAGAGACGTAGTTCTATAAACGAAAATTGTGGAAACCCTAGCCTACTCCGGGCCCCGGGTGAAAACTGAAGAACTCTGCTCAGTTCTCCCTACCGTTCAATTGGGGCTAACAACTAACAAGATTGCAGCAGTTACATTCGGTTTTGTAATTGGACGATGGGGAGGAAAGATAAGCAGAAGAAGTTCCAATTCGAGGACGACGATGACGATCTTCACAGGGCTTCGAACTCTGCCAACTCGGTGAGCAGTGACGAGGAGGAGGCCAATGAAGATCTTAGCCTCAAGATTGTCGAGAAGGCTTTGCTATTGCGTGCCGGGAAGTTGGTCGCCGACGCCAACGATAACGAGGATGCTAACCGTGGAACGAGTGGTAATAATGGCGATGCCGGCGTTGGAGCCGTCGAACTGTTTTCCTCGTCTTTGGCGGAACCTGACGCTGCTGCCGGAAATAGCGTAACCGCTGCTTCGGGAAGTAAGAAGTCTGTGAAGAGGAAGAAGAAAAAGGCTAAGAAGCTGGGAACTGAAGAGCTCAATGTGAGTAATTTCTACTATACTCTAGTCTTTCTGGAAGAATCTAGTGAGAGAGCAGGAGTTCTGGAAGAACTGTATATTTTTCAGGATATGGGTATGGACTAAGAGACCGTCCCTTCGGTTTTTCTTGATGACACAATGACAATGTTGAGAAGGAAATACTAAACTCGATCTAAGAGTGCTCATTGAACCAAAAACCTGTCTACCGATGGAATTTTCGTCTGCTTTTGTGGTTGCCGGAAGGCAAAATATCTGATAATATTACACTAGTTTCCACAGTATAAGTCGTCTCAAATTTGGAGCAATACATTATATTTACTTTCTTTAATCTGATAAATGGACCGTGAATCTAATAGAGCTTCGTGTTTCTGATGGTCTTGCTGTTTACTTTCAATTTTAGGTGGTTGTCACAGAAGGAGAGAATACCGAGACAACTGGAATGATAACTGATAATAACGTGTTCAGGAAGCTTCTTGTGAGTCCCTTTAACTGCTCTGAACTACCATTAAGGAAAAATTAATGTCTGCGGAGGCTTAGCATTGTATCTTTAATATATTATTCTACCAGCGTGGACCAAGATACTTTGATCCTCCAGATAGTTGGGGAACGTGCTATAATTGTGGCGAGGAAGGTCATAATGCTGTGAATTGCACATCAGTTAAACAACGAAAGAAACCATGTTTTGTCTGTGGAAGTCTGGAGCACTATGGAAGAAGTTGCTCGAAGGTCAGTGAGAAATCATACAAAATTTGTCTGCTTCTTACTTTCTCACTGTCATAGATGGCCAAACAAGTAATAGATTAAATAATATTAACATCATTTGAATGTTGGGCCATGGGTCAGGTCCTGTTGGTGGCAATGAAAATTAATGTTTCATTGCCATGTGCAGCTTTAAGTTTCTCACAAGGTCGATATGGTGAGTGTAATGCAAGAATTCTCGTGAATGGAGATGCGCTGTTTTCCCGATGGTATATTTAATCATACCATTTTAAAGAAAACTAGAAATCTACTCTTATCAAGTATCCTTTTAATTGAGTTAATATTTTAATATTTTTAATATCTCCATCTTCTTAGGTTTTGAAGTTTGAAGTTTCTAATTTGGAAACTACTATGTATTGATTGACTTTTTCTATGCAAGTAATTCATTACCTATTCTATTCACAATCAACCTGAGTGTATAATGGTGTATTAATCTTGTCTCCTTACATGTTATCCTGTTTCTTGCTCATTTAGATGTACTGAAAATCTTCTTCTTGCTATTTCCAGGCACGAGATTGCTTTATTTGCAAGAAAGGTGGGCATCGTGCAAAAGACTGTCCAGAGAAGAACAAGGATGTTTCTTCAAGCTCAAAAATGTGCTTAAAATGTGGAGATTCTGGGCATGATATGTTTTCTTGTCAAAATCATTATCCAGATGATGATCTTAAGGTCTTCTTCCACTTGATTCCATAAATTGTTTTGTTTACTGTGTTATTTTTCTCAATGTGACTTGTATGACCTTTTTTCCTTTTTTTTTTTCTCCAGAACATACAATGTTACATTTGCAAGAAATTTGGCCATTTATGTTGTGTGAATTCCACCAGTGATACTTCAATAGACATTTCCTGCTATAAATGTGGACAGACTGGACATACTGGTCTGGTAAGTTCTCTATGCTCATATCTGACTTTATATGATGTTCACATAATATTCATATCACCGTTCATTTCCATTTGAGACGTTCTCTTGTTTTGTTTGTGTTTTACTTTTAATGGAAATGTCCACTTGTTTTGCTCTCACGTCAGTTGGCAGTTGCAATCAGTAAAATTTGGAACTCATGGGCATTGAGAAGTTTGAGATTTCTGGGCTCATGTAATGATAGTAATTGTCTTGTGCGAATCAAATGATTGGGAATAAATGGGATGTTAATATTTGCTTCTAATCAAAAGTTTAAATGTTTGACTGAATCAACATGTGAGAGCGGAGGTGAGGTCCTTATTGACAGGGACTGTAGTGTTGCTCTCACTCAGTATCGCTAGATATCTCAATACCTGAGATGATTTGTATCTTTTTTTATCACCATAATTTTTCAAATTAACTGTGGATGCTGGCAAATTCAATTTAAAATGATTGAACTTTCTTGGAGCCATCTGCAAGCAGCAGCCCTCAAGTAGCATTGTGGTGGGTGAGATCTTGAGGGTGAAGCTCTTCTATAAGCAACTTTTGAGGCTCTGGCAGCACAATCTTTTCTTATTTTCTATCTTGGTGCAAATGTTCTCCGATCTTTAAACACTATAGCTTTGTTTCTCTTTTAACCAATTGGAGAGCCTTTTGTAACTCCATTAGTTTGGAATCTTCCCCTTTTGTATTTCTTTTCCATTTCATTACATTAATGAAATCTGTTTCTCCCAAAAAAAAATCTTTTCTTATTTTCTTTGATGTGGGAATTGGAACTACAACTGCGAACACATCAATTTACCTGGCTCTGACTCTCTTTATTTCCTCATCGATTTATTTAAACTTGTTCTATTGAATATTATTTATATCAGCTGAAGTACACACAAGTTCTAATGATGGATATAATATAAATATTTAATATCATCAATACAATAAATTAGAGAAAATTATCTATCCAACATACTTGTTGCTTGTTGGGATGGAATATTAAATTACAGGAACTTGTAGCCATACCATGTTGACAAGAAAACTCATTCCTTTAAAATTGAAGTTTCTTGCTTCTAATTTTTATTGCATGTCGATGATTAATTTGTTCTCCTCTGTGAATGTAAACCTACAGGCATGCTCAAGATTACGTGGGGAAGCCTCTAGTGCTGCATCACCTAGCTCATGCTATAGATGCGGTGAAGAAGGGCATTTTGCCCGTGAGTGCACAAGTTCTGCCAAGGTAGATAAAAGAGTTCACATATTTGGTGGGGGTTGCTGTTCTTTCTGTTATGTATTTACTTATGTTTGCTGTAAAAAACTTGTACTGCTCAGGGTGGCAAGAGGAATCGTGAGGTATCAAACCCAAAATTGAGGTCCCAAATAGAAGAAACGAATGTAAACCCACAGGCATGCTCGACATTTTGTGGGGAAGCCTCTGTTGCTGCATCACCTAGCTCATGCTATAGATGCGGTGAAGATGGGCATTTCGCCCGTGAGTGCACCAGTTCTGCCAAGGTAGATAAAAGAGTTCACATATTGGGGTTCGGGAGTTGCTGTTCTTTCTGTTATGTATTTACTTATGTTTGCTGTAAAAAACTTGTACTGATCAGGGTGGCAAGAGGAATCGTGAGGTATCAAAGCCAAAATTGAGGTCACAAATAGAAGAAACGAATGTAAACCCACAGGCATGCTCGACATTTTGTGGGGAAGCCTCTGTTGCTGCATCACCTAGCTCATGCTATAGATGYGGTGAAGAWGGGCATTTYGCCCGTGAGTGCACCAGTTCTGCCAAGGTAGATAAAAGAGTTCACATATTGGGGTTCGGGAGGGACTGTTCTTTCTGTTATGTATTTAATTATGTTTGCTGTAAAAAACTTGTACTGATCAGGGTGGCAAGAGGAATCGTGAGGTATCAAAGCCAAAATTGAGGTCACAAGTAGAAGAAACGAACCAACTGGGATCAAATTCTGCGTCTCGTGATCTTGCAAAGGCTCACAAGAAGAAAAAGATAAATCATGAAGATAAGTACACCACCTTGCCTAGGAAGTCAGGACAAAAGGGTCGCTGGATGATGGAAGATGCTCCTGGTAACTTTTCTAGTGGCTCATCCAAGAAAAATAACTGGAATTCTCCTGTTACACCATCTAGATGGGGTCATAACAATTCTCCTGTTACACCATCTACGTGGGGTCATAGTAATTCTCCTGTTACACCATATACGTGGGGTCATAATAATTCTCCTGTTACACCATCTATGTGGAGTCATAATAATTATAAGGAGTACACTGGTCACTATGAAAATCCTCAATCTTCCACACACAGGCGTGCATTGCATCCACATCCAGGGACTCCAATGTCGTTAGGATCCCATAAAGCTTCTTACAGATTCCCGGCTTCAAGATTTGGGGGCTTTACCGATGAAAGATTTGGTGGGGGCTTTAGCAATGAAGGAAGGAGGAAAAACTATGGATGGTGGTAGAAAGTCCTGTTTGATATGTATGATTGGTAGCTGTTGGAAAAAAATTACTGCTTGAAGATCTGATTTTTGCTTAATGGTTCCATTGCAGAATCTGAGATAATTTCAAGTTATTGCTTCATTTGTAATAGTACCAGATCAACTCTTTGAGTTCAGTTACATTATTCTCTATCGCTCTTTGCAGTCGCCGACAGGTGTTTTCATTTGCAGTTAAATTTAAACATCTATTAATTTTACAGAATCGTTTGTTTTTTACGGCAGAATGGCAAAATGTACCACAGATTTGGACTAGAACGTTTCTCATAGCATTTTTTGGGATGTAAATGCGACTCCATGACTTTTTTTAGGGATTTTGTTGTGTAGTGTTTCTTTTCTTTCATCTATTTACTGTATTCAATAAATTTATTTTGCGGTACCCATCTCTACAGGTTGATTCAGCATGGGGGCATAGGAAGAGTTAGTCTGATTGGTTTGCTCTTGGTGAACACTTTGATTGTTTTCAAATTGTTGAAGTTCTAAGTTCTCAAGTCCCTACATTTTCACTGGAATTCAATTTCTATACCGTTTGATTCTTCTCATCTTGTCATTTCTAGTCCAATGCAGATATTTTCAATGGCCACGTCTACGAACACGAGGGACATGGAGCGGCATGGAGGAGGCTCGAGAGTTTTCTACATTGTCATTGTTGTTGTACACTGTTGTGGAAGATCTGAAAGTCAATAGCTTCTTGCCCTATTATGTCCTCTTGGCTTCCCCACCTTTCTTCCTCACCTTTCTCCTAATTTGTTTAAATGGGATTTAAAATACAAGGTTATGTGATAGTACAATTCTTGAATTTGGTTGTGGAAGTTACTAATTTTATCGGTAGGAAGAAACTCATGATATAGAAGCCACTTGTTATTTAGGGTGGAGTTGAATGCAATATGAAGTTTAGGCTGCACTAGGTATTAGTGCAAAGTTTAGAAATTATAGAGTTGTTGGAAGTATATAAATTTATGATTATATTTGAATAAATTTGATGAATGGAATGCTAAAATTATGATAGAAGAAAACGAAAAATGAATGTTTCGAAATTATAAAAAGTAAAATGGACGTTTGATTGAAGAAAATGAGATAAATGTGAAAATGAAGGTACCAAAATAATCACATTTTAAAAGTATTTTGACTAAGATGGATGTTTCGAAATTACAAAAATCAAAATGGACGTTTTGAAAATACAGGAATTAAAATGAATTAAAATCGAAAGTATAAGAATTTATAAGGATTAAAGAAGGGGTGATCTATTACAATAACACATGATAAATCAATAAATGTGAGTATTTAATTGAATAGTATATTGATTAAATTATTATACAGTACTTATTGAATTATTGAATTATCTTAGATCAAAGGTCGTGAGTTCGAATTTTCACCCTGTAAATTGTTGTATAAAAAAATGATAATAATATTCGACTACGAGCTAATTATAAATAGTTAAGTTCCCTATAAAAATAATGTAGGATATTTCACATTTAGTAATTTTTATGTTTAAGCTAATGGCACAATATTCCACTAAAAATGACTACATTAGAATGAATGTTAATGAGGTTCGAGTAAATATTCATTTACTTCTAAATCTATTATTTTATTTTTTAGGTTGAATAACACATGGATGAAAACTTAAACTTTCGATCTATAGATTCGTGATATATATTTTAATTAGCGGACTATTTTGACAAAAAAAGAAGAAGAAAGAAATTACATGTGTCCCTAATTAATCTCTCTATATTAATAACTAATAAGATAAAACAATAATTTATTGTTTTAGAAGTAAATTGTTACTAAAAACGGGTAAAGTAATATAAATATGTAAATTATTTTTTTTTTATCTAATATAACTTTTGTTATAATATTATGTTTTATTTTAGTAAGAATCATGAGGCAATTGTCACTGTTTATGGACCCGAACCTGGGTGATCTATCCATGACCAGGATGAAGCTTGGGTGAAACTAAGTGGAGGTTCGAACCGAATGATGTTGAAGAATCAACAGATGAGTTGTGGTTAGGGGTAAAATGCCACTCGAATCCAAAACTAGCTGGTTCCCCCTGAAATGCGACATCTTATATTTCGAGTTAAATAAGTAGTGGTCAGAATTCGAATCTAAGATATATGCTTTAATGAGTTTAGTTTCTATTGAAAAGAGATTTTTTTTTTCTTAGAATTACATTTGATTTAAGTTTGGGTGGAAGGCAATTTAGAGTGGTTGTTTGTTTAATTTGCTTCACTTTTTTGTGTGTGGAAATTTGTTTGAAGAGGTCAATTGTTAGGCCACCTGAGGACTGCTTTCTACAATATAACCTTTTCAAGAAATTGTTCATTTTGGTTAAATGCTCTCTTTTTTTCTTTTTACTCTCATAAAGGCTTCTCATTTTCCTATTAGGGTTTTTTTGATTAGTGATCTTCCATTCCAAGGCAGATGTTAAATCTCTTTTCCACAAGCATTGCAATTTGCAAAGATGAGCTCTTAAAGGTTAAATTTTCATTTCCCTCACAAGTTCACAACCCCAATTTCTCTCTCTCTCTTCACAGTTTTTTCTTCCATGGTCTTGAAATCATACTGATTCTATTAGTTCATAAGCATTCAAGTTAGCAGCAACACCTTAGGCTTGGCTTTGCTGATCTTATTCTTCTCATCCCAATTATCCCATCTCCTCAATTCCCTTTTCTTCATTGGTTTCTACCTTAATTGGGAAAACCCTAATTTCCACTTCCCTTTTTCTGTCTCAATTTTGATCTTACTCGGTTGTTTTTTTGTACTGGGACAACTCTTTCAACTTCTTTTCGATATATTTGATTGATTGCTGCAGTTTCTATCTACACCCAGTTCTGCTATAGCTTTTTCTTTTTTGGAGTACAGCCTGATTATGGTTGTAAGGCTGTGCTTCCGTTACTAAAGGGTGCTCAGAAACTGTATTTGCACGCAATGGAACCCTGCATTACAGTAGGGTTTAGCTCAAATTCGAATTGAGTCAATTAGGGAACTGATGTAATTGAATGTTTTCTTGAATGATTTTGAATACGCCGTTTTTTCTTCATATTTTTGTTGTGCATTGCTGCTTGTGCAATGTCGGACGATATGCTGCTTCATTTCTCCTCCAATTCTTCCAACCAATCGGATCAGTCTCTGCCCACCAAAATGGCCAAGCTCGAAGCTCGTATGGTTGGTAAGACCTCGTCCACTCAGCAGCCTGCTCAGCTGCAGTTGACCAGGACATCTGTCTCTTCTGCTGTGAAATTCGTCGCCTCTGAGAATTTGATCGAGCCTGCCACTTCGAGTGATTCTGATGACGGCGTAAGTTCATTTAACATTCTATGTGCAACTTGTATTCATCCCGCTTCATTTCTGTATCTTGAGAATTGAGTTATAGTTGGATGTTGGATGTTGAAATTGTTACTGATTGAACGCCCTGCCATTCTAATTTTGCCTTTTGGGATTTGACTGGAGTTCGGCGTGAGAATTGAGAATGCACAAACCCACAAATAGAATGACGATATGCGTTAATTGTATTACTTTTGCGTGCATGATCTTTGTTTTTGTTTTTGTTTGTTTGTTTGTTTTTTTTTTTTTTTTTTGTGATACTCTATTATTGAAATATTGGCGTTAAGAGAGATTCGTTTTAGTCTTAGGAGTATTATGGTGATGCATTTTGCCGGCCTATGAACTTGAACGTCCTTTCATAAGAAAAAAATAATTTGAACGTCCTTATTGACGTTCTATATCTACTAATTATTTTCTTTGGTTTATCGAATACGGAGTACTTTGCAAATTTTTGTATACAAAGAGTCAGGTGTACACTACAAGTACAAAGACTTAAAATCCAATGTCTACTGTCCTCAAACCTCTTAAGTGCTTGCCATTTAGATTGCATTGAATGCTTAAAACATTTCTAATTAACATATGCTAACTGATGATTTCTATTAGACTTAAACATACCATAGTCTCTTTACCTATGTTTTTTCCCTCTGTATTTGTGAGGTTAGTTTCTTGCATCAATCAATAAGGAGTAATGATAGTATTTAGAAGTTACTTATTAGAGAAAATGGGAGCTGCAGTTTCTACTATATGAGTTGACCAGTATACCCACCCTCTGGGAAGGTTCATTTATATATATCTATACATGCAAGTTCAGAAGTAAATCCACCATTTGAGGGCTCATCTTCTATATATCTTAGCTTGCAATGTAGTAATAATTTTAAGAATGTCGACAATTTAGGTGGGATGGATATGTAGTTGTTGACTTAATTGAACACATGCATTACATACTTAGGACTACTTAGGAGTTCAGCACTGTTAGTGGGTCTGAAGTAAATATATCTCTATCAATTCTCTCAAGAAACTTATTATGAAGGAGTTTACTATGAATAAGAATAGCAAACTGTAAAGTTAATGGAAGCCACTACACAAAAGAACAATATTCTTCATTTCATTTTATTTGCATTATGTGAGTTAAATTAATGGTAAGTGTTTAAATCAATTGTTTGAAAGTTCCAATTTTCATTTTTAAAGATTCTTCTTGTTTTTATACTGTACTGCATCGTTTCCATGGAAAATTGAGCTCTGGAAAATGGTCTATTCTGAATTTGATAACACTGTATTTATATATTGTATGTTAGACTGGGGACGAATTCCTAATCCAAGCCAACACTCAGAAGCGGCAGAAACTTCAAGAAGCCAATGACTCAACCCTTCCTGAACGTGTTGAGGTAGTAACTATTATATTGGTAATAATTTGGAATAACTATTATTATTGTTTAAATTTTTGACAATGCCTAAACTCTAATTTCACAATACAATATTAATTCATCATAAAAGACCCCAAGGGGGAGCCCGGTTGGCAAGGGCTTGGGGTTCATTGGCCATGCTGACTTAGAGGTCTCAAGTTCGAACCTTCTAGTGAGCTTAATACCAAAAGCCCTTGATGTGTCTCGGGACTGGACCTTGAGGCAGGCACATGTGCCCTTGGTTATAGGGGAGCAAAACTCCGACATAAATATTTTATATTTCAATAACTGCATTAAACCTTGTTGTCTTCGCACTTAACTGACTGTGGTTTGCCTTCTCTTTTTGTTCCTTAATTTTTTTTCTCCCTCTTTTTCGGATTTCCCGAGTTTATCGACCTAAAAGTTGTTTTTTGACACTTTTTATTGAGATGTTTTGTTTCTCTTGGGAATTCAGTTTTTTAAATAATAGTAGTAATAACACTTTAAAGGCATTTCAGGCAGTGGATGATGGAAAGCAAAACATGGTGGAAGTGATGGAGACCAAAAAGTGTTTGGATGTAAATAGGAAAAAACAAGGTAGAGGAAGGGGACAATCCCTCTCAGGTAGAGGTCGTGGGTCAAGAGCTAATGATCAGATGAAATCACAAATTTCTCTCTCAACAATTCCACCTACAAATGGTCAACAAGACAATTTATACCTTAAGGTAAGGCTTGACATGACCCGTTTCAATTTAATGAGTCAATTCTGTAATGTTGTTGTCTATGCTTCCATTGAACAATATAGCGTTATTTAATTCTTTATAGTGAATTTACCATTTGGTCAAAGTTATTCATTTGGTTGAAGGATGGTCTCAAAATTCTCTTTCATATATATCTTTTGTAATTTCCTTATTTCTATGAGGTAAAACCTATTGACTGACTTTAAAGTATTGTTTTCTTTCAAGAAAAAAATATTGGTTGATTAATAACCAATCTACGGTTTTACAGGATGGGATGTCCAAAGAGCAGCTTCGGATAGATAATCAATCTCCTATGGAGGTATGTTTTTTCTAATACGGATAGGCCTACATAAATGTATTTTTTGGACAAGAATATATGCCTACTTAGGATTCTCCTATGAGGTCTGCATCTAAACGAGTGCCCAAAAAAAATATATGTATATGCCTATTTAACTGGGTGATTCAGAACGTTTGGAAATAAGATGAAATGTGCTGTCTCAAGTTACAATTTGTTGACTTAGGCACTGTTGTTTTGTTTTTATTGAATAGTATTTATGGTTTGTTGAATGATTTTCTTTTTATTATGTGAAATATCTTGCCTTGGTGCCACAAGTTTTTGACATCTCCAAATTTATATTTCTTGTTTGTATTAAATAGGAAGAGTTAGTCTCTTTACGGGCAAAAGTTGCTTCATTGGAGGAAGACCTGCGAAAATCACGTCAGGAGTCCTCTGAATATCAAAATCTTTACCATGAATTTGAAAAGGTACATGGATCATGCCCAAGATAGTCAAAAACCTATTTGCAGAGAGTACATTTTCCATGGACTTCGTACACGCATATATTGGTATTCTAAATTGTCTTTTACATGGACGATTCTAAAATGCTTTTCTATAGGAAGTTTGTTCCTTTGCAAGACATTTTTGAAATTCTATTTCTTCCTTCTGTCTCTTAATAATATTATCTCCTCTCTTTGATCATGATTTATGCAGGAGTTGAAGGAGATCAAAGATTACGAACAGCAGATGAAGCCTAAGGTTAGCTTTTCTCAAGGAATTAATTCATTTTTGCGCAATAAGAAATTTATAAAAATTTAACCATGTATAAAATCTGGTTTAGGAAGCTAAGGTATCCAAAAGTTGAAAGTCTACAGAGACTACAATAATGCTCTCTAATTGGCCTTCATCTTTTTTTTTTTTTTGGATAAGAGACAAAAAGGGTATATGAGAGAAAACACCAGAAAAAAAGGGCCAAAACAACCTATTTTTAACTAAAAAAATAGATCTAAGAAGAATACTAACTAAAAAAATCATTAGCCAGAGTATTCCATCTAGGTGCTACTATACCCTTCCTGGGGCTTTTTTAGAAACTAGAAGTCCCTGAACTATATTTGGCCAAACATGTTTTTGGAAGGTGATTTCAGTGTTTTCGAGGCGCAAGGCGACAAGCCCTTTGATCGCCTTGAAGCGAGAGGCGATACAAAGGCGACGCCTGATTGAAGTGAGGCGCACCTTAATAAATAAGTAAAAATTATATATATAGTGCATAAGTTACTTTAAAAAAATTAATACCAAAATAGTAAATGTCAACCAGATACATAAAACAACCAAATTCTATAAGTTTAGTTCCAAATAAAGACAAGCAACGGCGGAGATTGATGGTGGCGAAGGCTTGAAGCCCGTGAAGGTGAATGTCGRGAGGGAGGGGASGCAGARATAGGGYTTGGRTCGCGTAGGGGAGGGTGTTTTACAAAAAAAAAAAACACATAAAAAAAGGCAGATCGCCCCTTGAAGGCGATCACCTTGCCTCAGGCGACAGGCACGCCAAGGCGCCCAAAGGCGAGCGTGCGATTGAAGGCGCTCGCCTGGGCACCTTGCGAGGCGCACCTGGGCGAAAACACCTCGCTTCTCACCTGAGGCGAGCGTCCGGGTGCACCTCGAAAACACTGGGTGATTTTGTATTTAGCTACCATTAACCACTCTATGATCTCTACCACTAGTTGCTGCATCCCACCCCACTCTCACTGCTTGCCTTTCTTACCCAATTTATGTTTGGCCTACAACCTTAAATTACTTTATGGTTGCCATTTGCTGACCTGACCACCAAGGTTTGTTTACTCCATAAGGAGGTTATATACCATGAAAGAAACCTAGCTGATTGCTTCTTGCTAATGTTACCAATAATGTTCATATTGTTTCTCTTTTGGATATTTATGAAGAGGTAAATAAAATATGCTTTCATTCAAACCTTCCTTGTTAAAGTGTGGTTGACTTAAAATGCCGTTGTCAAGAATTTTCTTATTCCTCACTGATATATTGTTTTGTCATTAACTATTTTATCCTTTTGTTGTGGGTTTTATTCAAATTACAGAGAACAAAAGTACTATCTGATTTGCTGATATCTGTTTCAAAAGCTGAGAGACAGGAAGCAAGGATGAAAGTCCGTCAAGACTCCTTGAGACTCGGCAATGTGGGTGTAATCAGGTTAGTTTTTTCATAATCAAATTGTCATATAGCACTGTTACGTCATATTCTACCCTTGATCAATTAGGGACAATGTAATATGTGAGCAAAAGAAGAGACGGTTGCACCAAATAAGGATTTAAATCCTCTCTTCTTCGCCCTGCTTTATCCATAGAGTTCCAATCCCTGCCCTCTGAACAGGCCATGCTAGTAGACGAGATTTGTGACCTTTCTGAATCTGGTTTCAAAAAGAAAATGTTCTCTTGTTAAAGCAAACACGGAATATTCTCATCCTTAGGTTCTGTTGCACTAAAACGGGGCAGGGATAAGTAGTCTTCATTTAGTTCTGCATTTCTTGTTTTGAATTTTTTCGTTGAAACTTGTCAAATGTTGAATAACATTCTGAAAATTAAGTTCTGAGAAATCATGGGCTAGGGGGGCTTCTCCAGCCTATTTATCGTATCAAAACTGGATTCTCCTGCCATAATTTGCTTTAAACGATAAGAGGTTATGAAAGAAGCACTATTCTCCTGCCGGTTTACTTTTTCTTTACCCTTTTCTAGATATAGTTTAAATGGTCTTTTTGCTACTGTAAGGATTTCTTATGATTCTAGCTTGGATGTCCTCTTGCCCTTCTTTTGTTTATTTCATCTTGTCAATGAAATTTTGTTATATATAAATATTTAACTTAAAGAGTATGAAAAAGTGCAGGTCAATATGAAAAATACTGTTTCTGTTTTTTCTTTGTTTACAAAAATGAACATGCCAAATAAGTTTTCTGCATTAGAAACTGGTTTTAAACATTATTTCCAGTAAACTCTCAAGTATTCGTGAGAAGTATGACTACTTGTTGGGGTCGTAAGATCTTAGCCCGGTCATAAATGAAAACAATTGTATGCTTTTTATTTGGATTTATCAGTCAAATCTTGGCTTCTTGCAATCACATTCCTTTTTAATTTTATTTAAGGAAACAACTGATTGCATTCTTGTATGTATGTCAGAGCTGGAACAGTCATATCTGAAACATGGGAGGATGGACAAGCATTGAAAGATTTAAATGCTCATCTTGTACGTTATTTTTATACTTTTTGTTATAATTATAATCAATGAAGTTTTGAGTTTGTAATCGAATAACCTTGTAGGTTCTCATTCTTTTATTGTGAGCAAATTATGATGCAGCTATACCATAGTTCTTTTCATCTTTCTTGTGAATAAAATATTCTCATGAGCAAAGAAAATAGGATTATTATATTATAGCCACAAAATTTGGTGAATATTATTTTTCTACTATCTGGTCAATAATTATGAATTGTATTTTCACATACTAGCTCATGTATTTTCGTTTTAGTTTTCTCAACATGGAATTATTCTCATAAGTTGTACATTAAGTTCATTTGTTCATTGCAAATAATCTTCCCACTTTTCAGAAACAATTACTAGAAACCAAGGAGGCCATTGAACGACAGCGCAAGTCCTTGAAGAAAAGACAGTCGGGTTAGTTCCTTCAAAGTTTATTTTTATTTTTCATACTTAAAGGAAAATACTATTCAATAATGTTTGCGCCAAGAAAACTCTGGATCTTATTTATTCTATACGTGCATTGCATCAAAAGTTCAATGGCTGGTCTGAACATGCTTGAGTTTTAAATGGTACATTTTCTTTTTAAACTTAAGACACCTCTTTCTCCCTCACTGCCTTGTCCTCCTGAATTCTGACATCAAGCATAGGAAATGCTATCTTGCTACAAGGTTTTTTGAAATTTAAGATATGAATATCCTTTCTGTACTGAAAGTTCTTAATTTCAGCTGTCTATAAGTGACCATGGTTTCTATTTTTAAAGACAAAGGTGATGGGGCCGATGCTGAACCAGGAGCTCAAGAAGAGGACAGTTTCATTCAGGATGAGATCTACAAATCCCGTCTGGCAAGCATCAAGCGTGTTAGTTCCTTTGTCATGTCTTGATTTTCCTTTGATCGTTAAAACATTCTAATTTTAAATATCGAATTTGCATATATGACGTCTATTTTATCATAAATTTATGAACTCTGCATAGGAAGAGGAAACTATTCTACGTGAAAGGGACCGCTATGAACTTGATAAAGGAAGGCTTATACGGGAAATGAAGCGGATACGAGATGAGGATGGTTCCCGTTTCAACAATTTTCAGATTCTAAATCACAGATACACCCTTTTAAACCTTCTTGGGAAAGGAGGATTCAGCGAGGTTTACAAGGTCAGAATTTTGTGCTATATCATTATTTATTGACATTCTCTCTGAAATTTTTCCTGAGGCTTAGCCGCTTAAGTGCTGAACAAAAAACAAGACCGTCTTTGCCTATATTTGGCAACTGTAAAGATATACCTTTTTGCAGTGATTTTGAAGTAAGAAATTTCCAGCAGGCTTATGACTTGGTAGAGCATAGATATGTCGCATGTAAGCTGCATGGGTTGAATGCTCAGTGGAGTGAAGAGAAGAAGCAGAGTTATATAAGGCATGCAATTAGGGAGTACAATATCCACAAAACATTGGTGCATAATCACATTGTCCGGCTCTGGGACATTTTCGAGATTGATCATAATACGTTCTGTACTGTCCTAGAATATTGTAGCGGTATTATCTCTATTTTACCGTTTTATTATCCTGAAGTGCTTTTCATTTTGTGAGAGGAAGCCAGTTCAAATATTGTGCTTTGGACGTAAATAAATATAATTGATTATGATTTTGTTGTACATTCTATTTATCCTTTTTATCTTCCTATGAAGAAAACATAATTTTTGCTCTTCATCTTGCATTATCTATCCAATTTTTTTTGTTCAGGGAAGGATCTTGATGCTGTTCTCAAGTCAACACCAGTATTGCCTGAGAAAGAAGCCAGGATAATTATAGTGCAGATATTCCATGGCCTTGTTTACTTAAACAAAAGGGCACAAAAAATTATCCATTATGACCTAAAACCTGGTAACGTTCTATTTGATCAACTAGGTGTTGCAAAAGTGACAGATTTTGGTCTCAGTAAAATAGTTGAGGATGATGTTGGATCACAGGGTATGGAACTTACATCGCAGGGTGCTGGAACATATTGGTAAATGTCAAACTTTGGTGCATATTCTTTGGCTTGTGACATTTTTTATCATTTATTGTCCTGCTCATAGTATTGAATATGCTGAGACTTTTAAGGAAGTATTACATTTTATGGAACTAATGGTTTTCTTTTGGTTTTTAAATCTCTTATATCGTTTGTACAAGCTTCCTCTTAACGCTTCAAGGCATATCTAGACCTACCCTGCACATTGTGTCAGTCAGTACTTTCTTTTGGAATTTGTAGGTATTTACCTCCAGAATGCTTTGAGCTCAGCAGGACACCTTTAATATCATCCAAGGTTGGTTGTTATATAATCTATTTTTCTGCCACATTCTTGTTTAGTTATTATATTGTTGTGCTTTTCTTATTCCTATAAAGTTGGACATGTGTCAAAATTTGAGTTATCCTGAACGAAACCAAAAAACATATACAGAAGACTTGGGCTATAACAAGTCAAAATCCTTATGTAATTACACTTGTTCTGTTCTACAGACAATTGGAGAGCGAGAGCCTAGGGCAGTTTTACCCATAGCACGAACTAAAAAGATTTACAAATATAATACAGTTTTTGAAAATACCCATCAACATATTTCAACCCTGCATGTCTATCACCATCCAACAAAATTTCCATATTATATTGGCAAATAAGGCAAAGTTATTTATCTCCCATTACAATTTCCCAGCATTCATATTGCTCCCGGATCCTCTTGTACTTTACAATATCTTAATGGGAAGTGCTTGTTTCTTATATATAAAACAAAGTCTTCCGTGACTAACCACCTTCTGATTACAGGTTGATGTCTGGTCAGCGGGTGTACTGCTATATCAAATGCTCTTTGGCAGACGTCCATTTGGGCATGATCAGACTCAAGAAAGAATACTTCGCGAAGACACAATTATAAAGGCTCGTAAGGTCGATTTTCCTACTCGACCAGCTGTCTCAAACGAGGCAAAGGTGAGCCGTAGTCTAGTCTGCATTTGCTTGATTCCCTTCAACACATAATATATTTTTGTGCTAAAAAACAAACATTCGTGGTATCCCTTGGCCATCCTTCATATTTATTCCTTTGTTATAATGTCGATATTTATAGCGGTCAAACAATGGTTTTTATGTTAATGTTATGCAGGATTTTGTACGGCGTTGTTTGACATATAACCAAGTGGAGAGACCCGACGTTTTGACGATTGCTCAAGATCCATACCTCACATATTCGAAGAAGTAATTATGTGACAAAAGTATGCTTCTTGGATCCACATAACAGGAAATTTAACAAGCTCTATCTTTCAACAGCAAGCAAAGAAAGTATAGGAACTCATGGAAATTGTAAACACAGCAAAGGGCTGGTCTGCCACTCTAAAGGGTTGGTCAAAGGGGGTATTTTGAGTGATTTGAATTCTCCTATCTCCAAATATTTGGAGGTTTGGCTAAGTTTGGAGTTGGAAATGTTGAAGGGCACGGTGGTGACCTAAGATCCTTGTGGTACAGTGTTCTGAAAATGGGCTAGAGGCAGGCCCCTCAGAAGGAGGGAAATGAGGGAAGTTCTGATTTGCCTTTGTTTGCCCAATTTTTTCCCTTTTGGAAAAGGATTGATTTTGATGTATTAAATATTTTCTTTTAGTTCATATGGCATTCTCTTTTGCCGATAGGTTATATGAACCGCATTTCTACTAAGGTTTAATGTAGATATGGAACTCTCAAGAATGAAAAGTTCACATCTATCTTTTTATTTAATTTTATTTTTCGTTTTTTAGAAATTACATTACAAATTAGGGGAATGGATCCGACTCCACCCCTCATAATGTGTTCTAACTAGTTGATGGAGTCTTATTCAAAGAGGTTTTTTTTTCCCCTCTGCATTTGGATAGTGACAGCTCTCCACCTAATTACATAAGCGTTTTGAATATGGATGTATATTTAAGATAATTGTTTAAATGAGGCTAACATAGAATGACCCAGTGACGTACATTATTTTAGTACAGGCCACCGATCATAGCTCAAGTGGTTAAGACACCTATTTCACTACGAAGTCATGTTAAAACTCTCACCTCACATGTTGTAAAAAAAATAAAAAAAAAAATCTCTTATATACCTATTTCTTATTACTTGAATGGTGCTCAAATTGGTTATTTTTTCTCAATTTTTGGAGTTAGTAGATCAATTTTCTCGATATCATTATCTAACTTGGAAATTCATTTAAAGTATTTATAATTTCTTAAAATTAAAATATCACCAATTTAATAAATGAAAGACAAGAACTTGAGAGATTCACATGGTGGGACTTTAGTTTCTAAAAATATCAAACATCAATTGTATCAAGATGAAATGTAAATCATAGACTAAAGTAAAATTTAAACTAATAAGAGCATGAAAATACTTTAGACTAGTAAAAACGTGAAATGAAGATGGACATTATCCCAATGCTTTATCAAAGCTTCAAAAAAAAAAAAAAAAGATAAATAAATAAACATTATCAAAGTAGGCTACCAAGCATACCATACTGTAAAAAAATGGGCTTCCCAATGGAAAAGGACAGTACTTTAGTCTATACACACAGCTTGTCGGCCACGCGGCTTGTCTCCTAACGGCTACCATATTTGAATCCCTTGGCCATATCGAAAAACATTTCTAATAATTATCAGTTCATAAATAACCAAAATTCATTATCTATATTTATTATTCACAAAGCTATGGTGGATTGAGGTATTCAATGAATTTGAACACATTAATAAATATATCAGTATATTATATATAATAATTATTTAATTCCAACGGTCGGTAATGTAGGTTTGTTTCTACACGTGCAGAGGTTTGATTTGTTAATTGAGTTTGCAGTGTCGTTTGTTGTGTTTATGCGTGCCAGATTTTTTGTTCACACGCTCCCTTTTTTAGCTCTCTCACCAATCCCCAATCCCCAATGCAATCCTTACGTTACGTTCTCATTTTTGTTTTCTTGAAACGATTTCTCATTTTTGTTTTGTTTTCTTTGAGCTGAAGGATTCTCATTTTTGTTCTCGTTTGCTTTCTAATTATTAATTTCTCTAATCTTATATTTATCCAAAATAATATATTGATTTCAGCAGTCATATCATTCTATTTTGTTTAACTATCTACTCCAATCTATTATTTGTTCTGTTACGTCATGCCAAATGAACCACCAAATTGTTTAAAATACATAAATCGATCTATTTAGTATCTATTTCTTTCTTTTTTGAGGTTTTAATACTTCCAACGTACTCAATAGACACACATAAAATATGTTGATTAAAATTCAAAATTTGACGGCGTAAATTTTCCTTTTTATATTACAGATTTGACGATGTAATTAAAAGTTTTTAAATGCGAAAATTTATTGCCTTCATTCAACTGCCGAGAAAGGAAAATTCTTTCCTACCGTGAATGGGAAATTAATTATTTTTTTTATTTCTTTCCAAGAAGAAAAAAAAAAGTAACTGCTCAATTTTTTGTGGTAGTTAGTAAACAAACAGTAATATTCATTCTAAAATCATGAGCCTTGATTAGTACTCTTTAAAATATATATATATATATATATATATATATATTTGAAAGTTGATGATTTTTTTAATTTTTATTTTTTTGAAATAGAACGTTGATGATTCTGTTTCTGTATTTGAATTTCAATTTTCAGATTTTGGAGTACTGTAAATTGAAAACTAAAAAGCACTGCTCTGCAGTTCTTTGAAATTTGAATCATGGATAAGAGAAGATGAATAAAAAAAATTACTAAAGATTTAGTATAAAAATCCCCACGTTCTCCGTCTTCGTGTCCGTGGATTCCCATTTCCCACTGCTGCTTTTTCCCATTCACAGCTGCACTCACTTCAGCAACATCCCAATTTTGCTTTCCTCTGTAAGAATCATTTTCTTTCCCTTTGTTCATCTTCTCTTCTTTTTCCCTCATTTCGCTTCTTCCTCAAATGCACTGTGGCGCCATTCAGTATTGTGTGTGTGTGTTTTTTTCCATTGTTTATTTCTCAATAATACTCTGTTTTATTTTATGATCAGATAGTGCAGTGATTAGCAAGCCGAGGACAAAATGATGGGGTTCTTGAAACCCATGGTGGGTTTTTGGCTGCTGCTATGCTGTCTGGCCGTGGTTACAGATGCAACTTACCTGAAATACGAAGACCCTAAACAGCCATTGGGTGCTAGAATCAAAGATCTTATGGGTCGCATGACTTTGGAAGAGAAAATTGGCCAGATGGTTCAGATTGAACGGAAAGTTGCAACCCCTGATGTCATGAAGAACTACTTCATCGGTATTATATCATTCACCTCTCTAAAAATTGATGCCCCAATTTTATTAAACTAGATTGTGCGTGTTTAAGGCAAGTGCCGAGCCAGAACTTTTAGTGTACATTCTACAAATTAGAGAGAGAAGTTTCAAATATTAACCATTTTATATAACTTTTTAAATCTAAGAACTAAGAGGGGGAAAGTGTGCTCTTCTTCCTCCTTTAAGGTCTACTTTTCAGTAGGGATCTTCTTGTCAGTTGTCATGGATGTATGTATTATACTTTGTTTGATTATGGAAATTGGAAGCTAGAGTGATGGTGGGTTTGTGGACAGGGAGTGTACTGAGCGGTGGAGGCAGTGTACCGGCGGAGAAGGCGACGGCAGAAGCTTGGGTTAATATGGTGAATGAGATCCAAAAGGGGTCTCTAGCCACTCGTCTGGGGATCCCCATGATTTATGGGATTGATGCTGTCCATGGTCACAATAATGTGTACAATGCTACTATCTTTCCTCATAATGTTGGTCTCGGAGTTACTAGGTAAGTAATGTAATCTAGAAGCACAGCATTTCCTCAGTCTTTTGTGTGTATATGATTTGATAAACTTGTATTATACTAATGGAAGATGAAGATTTAGGAAGGATGATCTGATGGTTTCTGAATTAATGAGCCAGTTCACTAAGAAAAATCCTTGAACATGTTTCTTAGATCTGAACTTATAGCCAGAATTTTGTTAGTGGGGCAATCTGGTTTGCTTATGAGCTTACTTTTCACATCAGGGATCCGGCACTTCTTAGGAGGATCGGAGATGCCACGGCACTTGAAGTCAGGGCAACCGGAATTCCTTATGTTTTTGCTCCATGTATCGCGGTAACCCAACGTGTTGAATTGTTTCCTTCTAGAAGAAACACGAAATATTCTCACAATTTGTTCGCCAAAATGTGCTTAGTTACAGAATTTTCCTTGTGGTTTTGGTGGGTTGTGCAGGTATGCAGAGATCCTAGATGGGGTCGATGCTACGAGAGCTATAGTGAAGATCATAAGATTGTTCAGCAAATGACTGAGATTATACCTGGACTGCAAGGAGAAATTCCTTCTAATTCACGAAAAGGAATTCCTTTTGTTGCGGGAAAGTAAGATCCCTTTGCATAACTTTTTAACTTTACTTTGGTTGTCTTTTTGTTTAACAGGAATAAATTTGTAACGTAATATGCTTCTTTACTTTTTTTAATTTTAGAGTTTCTATTTCCTTTTGAGAAATACTTAATCATTACCTATCATGTTCCTAACCATCACTAAGAATTTCATAACTCTTCATTTTTTAAAAAATAGAAAAAATATTTATTTTATGCATTTCTCTCTCTCATCTGTCGTAACTTTAATGATAGCCAGTAAAAGAGTAAAAGATAGGTGTTAAGAATAATACCCTCCTGAATGGGTGGTAGGAAAATTTCTGCTGCCACTAATAAATATTTTACTGTTAATTTCTTTTTCAAAAAAGAGGGAAAAAAATATCTCCCAACTTTCCTCTTTCCTACGTGTCAAAAATTTAAAATTTAAGGGTGGGCAGGAACTGCTTGTATTGTCTTAATAAAAAGCGCAGATATAGTGTCTATATTTTCTGTCTTTGGTTTGATGAGTAGACAGTTTAATATCATTTCCCTCACCTGCTTACCAGCAAATATGCTTTGTACAGTACTTTAATGAGTGTGCTTGGGTTAATTATCATTTCCCCCACATGCTTACAAGCAATAATGCTAATAATTTAAACAGCTTTGTGTTTGAATTTTTTTAAAATCTATGCTCAAAAGTTGAGGCCCGAAATGTAACCAATTTCTGTCTTCTTTTTATCAATACACACACTCTCTCTCTCCAACAACAGAGCTTTTAATACATTCTTAACTCTCTCTCTTCCCCCACAACAGAGCCTTTAAGACATTCTTAACTCTCTCTCTCTGTCACCAACAACAGAGCTTTTAATGGTGTTGAATTGCGATTGATAAAATATCTATATGTGGATCATGTGGTCCTCCATAATATCATTGTTAATAAATGGTAGAAGAAAAAAGTTGTGTTCTTCATTCAGCAGTCCCTTCTTACTGATTACATATGGATCTCTCTCTAGTGAGAACTAGAAGCTGGTTGAATTCTATTCCCCCCTCCTGCTTACTCTAGCTGTCTCACATGACGTGAATACTGCATTTGACCATCCCCACCCTCTTTTTGGCATTCTTCAGTCTTATCAGATGGGAGGTTTCGGAACCATCCGTGTTAATGATTATTAAACAAAATCCAGATCTCGTAGGCATATTTGGAAGTTGAAACTAAATTTCCTTACTTGGTAGGTTGATGCATCAGTGCTGATCTATAATATGGGAAAACTCCTGCTCAAATGTGTTGAATATTGTCCTTTTTCTTTCCCACTTTATCCCATGCTACTCTACTTGCTCACTCTTCTGAAAGAAGACAGAAAAATGAAGGATAATATTTATTTATTTTTTTTTTACAAAATGTTATTATGATAGTGGAAAGAAGAGGGTTTGCAGATGATGTTTGTTTATGTGCTAGTAGAAGCTCTTGGAACCGTAATCTTTTTTCAGACTAAAATAAAAGTTAATCAAAGGAAAATGTTCCGGTGCATACCATTCAACATCCATATTTTGCTGACAATCATTGAACTTTTGATAAATAGGAGGGATAAAAAAAGGAGATATATTTGTATTTTTCAAAGCTGTCAAATTTTTGTCAGTAGATAGCATAAGATGAGTATTGATCGGTAAGCATCCAAGTATTGTTCTAAAATAAAAGTAGTTGAGAGGAGGGATCGATCTTCCATCTCACTCTTTTGGTGTCAGTCTATCGCTTTTGACGCTCGGCCACCAAGTGGGTCCCACCTTATCTCCTCACTCACAACTTCCATTTAGAGAAACTTTCCTGTTGAATAATTGTTTACTCTTCTGTATGTTTTATTCATGTATAGTTTAGTTTTCTTTTCAAATGCTAGCTCTTGGTTTGACTGGCCTGAAAGAGTCTGCCAAAATCTAGTGATTCAAATGGATATATATATATATATTTGATTTATTGCATTAACATATTTTCAACTGATTCCACCTAGACAAAAAGTTGCGGCCTGCGCTAAGCACTTCGTAGGAGATGGTGGCACGAACAGGGGCATTGATGAGAACAACACTATTATCGACTATAATGGATTGCTTAGCATTCACATGCCTGCATATTATAACTCGATAATCAAGGGAGTCGCGACAGTAATGGTTTCTTACTCGAGCTGGAATGGAAGGAGAATGCACGCCAATCGTGACCTTGTCACCGGGTACCTCAAAAACAAGCTCAAGTTTAAGGTATTGAAAAAAATTACATAATCCAAATGAGATTCTTATATTGGTATACTAAAAAATAAATGGTGGGAGGACCGCACAAGCTCAGAATGATGTTCTTTTGTTGGTTGGCCTGTTTTTGTAGGGTTTTGTCATATCAGATTGGCAAGGGATTGACAGAATCACCTCTCCTCCACATGCTAATTATTCTTATTCAGTTGAAGCTGGAGTTGGCGCTGGAATTGACATGGTAAGTCAAATTTCAGCTTTGATTTGGAACATGTAACGCAGCCATCACACATTCTTAAGTACAATCTGCATCAATCTGATTCATATGATTTATGTTCCTAATGTCTTTAAGAACGGTTACAATTTTTCATTTTGTATGTGATGCAGATCATGGTTCCAGAAAACTACGCAGAGTTCATCGATGAACTCACTCGCCAGGTGAAGAACAATATCATTCCAGTGAGCAGGATCGACGATGCTGTTAAAAGGATATTGAGAGTTAAATTTCTTATGGGTCTCTTTGAGAATCCGTTGGCAGACAACAGCCTAGCCAACCAACTCGGAAGCAAGGTTTGCCACTTCATTGTTGATGGCAGTTATTTGGAAAATGATTTGCTGAAGTTTTGGCTTTGGTGACTGAAATTAAAATGTTGGCCTTCTACAGGAACATAGAGAACTGGCAAGGGAAGCTGTAAGAAAATCGCTTGTGCTGTTGAAGAACGGTCCCTCAGCCGATAAGCCGTTGCTTCCTCTTCCTAAAAAAGCTGCCAAGATATTAGTTGCAGGGACTCACGCTGACAACTTGGGCTATCAATGCGGGGGCTGGACGATCACTTGGCAGGGTCAGAGCGGGAACGATCTCACTGTTGGTAAGTTTCATTGTTATTTCTGTAGAAAGAAGAAGCCAAGAAAGCAGAGAATTTTCTCACTGCTCTATGTATGTGTGAGAAAGGTGATTGCCTAATAGTTTTGCAGTTTCTCATACTCTGTAAATTTGTAAACAGGTACCACAATCCTCAATGCTGTAAAAAACACGGTCGATCCTACAACTCAGGTCGTGTACAACGAGAATCCAGATGCAAGCTTTGTCAAGTCTAACCAGTTCTCGTATGCCATCGTCATCGTGGGTGAGCCTCCATATGCTGAAATGTTCGGTGACAGCACAAATCTCTCCATCTCCGAGCCTGGCCCAAGCACCATAAGGAATGTGTGCAGCAACGTCAACTGTGTCGTTGTTGTCGTCTCGGGTCGTCCTGTTGTGATGCAGCCTTATGTTGGAGTTGCCAATGCCCTTGTGGCTGCTTGGCTTCCAGGAACAGAAGGCCAAGGAGTAGCTGACCTTCTGTTTGGTGACTATGGATTCACCGGTAAGCTCGCTCGTACATGGTTCAAGACTGTCGATCAACTTCCCATGAACGTTGGCGATTCACATTACGATCCACTCTTCCCGTTTGGGTTCGGTTTGACCACTAAACCAAACAAGTACTAGAAATAATACATTTTAGAGAACTTGAAGCATATTTATCATTTTCTTACCTACGATGAGGAAATTTACAAAGTCTCTTAATCATGTTTAGTAGCATTTGTAATACTCTTTCTTCTTTTAATCTATTATTGGAAAATCTTTTCCATTAAATAAGTATAAATTGGTGTTGACAATAGAGGATAGAACGTGTAAGATTATCTCTAATTTAAAGATAATAGTAATTATAATCATAAAGAATCCACAATTAACCAATAATCTCAGTGATACTAACCTTAAGAAAAAGGAAATAAGAACTTAACAAAGAAGGGTAATAAAAGAAAAGGAAAAAAAAGGAACAGCAAGTTCACAGGAACTTATAAATAGCTAACTAATTCTTCCAAACTTAATGCAAGTTATAGACTGCAACAAAAGACATTAGAACACTCCCAATCCATAATTTTCCATCTTTTTCCTCAACCTCACTTGCTGCTTTCACAACCTTCCCCTGGCTATCTTCTAATATCTGCAAAAGCTTCCCCTCTGGACTGTACTTGACAAGCACTCCATGAGGCCAACCGCCAATGTGAAGAAGGAACTGAATTTTTGCTGATATTGGAAGCTTGAGCATAAATTTCCTCAGTTTCGGATACCGAGCTTGCAGACTGGCAAGCGTAGAACGCCGACAATGGATTGCCACCCAAAATTCACCCTTGTCATTTGTTCTGACGTTATCAGGAAATCCAGGAAGAATGGCGAAGAGTTCTGTTGTTCCTGCTTTCTCGCCCTTCAACCAATACTTGCGTAATCTAGATCGATAATCAAAATGAGTTTGATGAGTGAATATGATTTGGATGCTAAAGTAGTAAATGAGTTGAAATAAAGAGATTATGTTTGTAGGAAACTTTTGTAAACCGTTGGTGTTCTTTCCATCTTCTAAACTCAAATGCATGGACTAAGAGCTATGAGTAGCACTGAAGTAATAGCTCTTGAATTAAAAACTTAAGAGACATTTGGAATTATAAAGAGTTTCACCTTCCTTTGGGCCCTTCGCAGAAAACGAAGAACGAACCGTCCTTGCTTAGAGACACACCATTCGGAAAGTAAACGTTCCGCACAAGAACGGTGGTTTCTCTCGTAGCAGCATTATATTTCAAAACTCTCCCAGTGCTTTCAGCAGAAAAAACTACTTGCAAGAAGTTCCTGCATAAGAAAGATAAGTTTTATTATACAACTCTTGGAAGGTTTCTTCTGTTCAAGTTGAGAGACAAGCAACAATCCAAGGCAAAACAACTCAGAATCAGTCTAGTTAATAGCTATGCGACTAAGAAATTTCTTCACTGTTTTAAGTTAAATTTCCGATTGTTAGAATAAATTGACATTTCAGTTCATAAGAATAGAGTAAAATATTTGCTGTTCCCTTGCTCCATTGTATGCTTCTAAAAACAAGTTTCACTGTTCCTTTTGCTTCTGATTATCATAAACCGCTCCTCTATGCATGCAATGGTGACCACATGAAAATAACCAGAGTAATTACGAAGTCTGCTTATTATAAATGCATGTCATATTTCGGTAATTAAAAAAGAGAAAATCATCATGGCTTAGGATTTACCTTCTGTGGTACATTGTGCTGCTATCCGTGAAGTACACATTCCCTTCGTCATCAAGGTCTAGATCATTGGTAAACTTGAACGGCACACCTTCTGCTTCAGTTGAAAGTGATGTTGCCAGACCGCCTTCAGGTCCGACCTTCATCAGCCCGAAGTATGCATCCGCGATATATAAATCGCCTGTTTTCTTGTCAAACCGGAGACCCAACGGACGGCCACATATGTGTTCGTTCTTCATATAACTTAAAATTGATGGTTTTGGATCACATATTTCTGACCTGAAACCACATGGACATAAATAATTAACATGTATCAGCAGTATCTAAAAACAATGAATACGTAATTAAGAAACATCAAAATCAGACAATGCTTCAAACATATTCTGGTACGAGGACAGATCTAACCAATCCTTGGGTTGCCCCATTCCAAAGTCTGCCTATAGTCATGAGTTTTCAAGAATTTGTGGTATACATACTAAAATAAATATAATCAATTAGTTCAACAACAAACCAACTGAAGCCAAACCTGGGGGATCAGAACACTAGTATTCAACCAAACCACTCCCCGTCTTATTGATTTCTTCATAAAAATATACATCGAATAAGTAGCCCTGAGGAACAATCCAGTTGGCAAGACCTTAGGGTCGATTGGTCATAACTGGCTTAAAGATCTCAAGTTCAAATCTTCCGGTGAGTTTAATACCAAAAAACTCTTGATGTCTCACGGGTCTAGATCTTGGGGCGGACGCAGGTACCCTTGGGTATAAAGGAGCAAAGTTCCGACTCCCCGTCATAAAAAAAATATACGTCGAATGAGTATGTTTTCCTAATTTTACTTAAAAAATTAGTGGATCTATATAACATTCTCCCCCACGTAACAGTTGGTATAGGCTGGTATTTTAAAGACGAATAAGAAAATTGAAAACTGGGTTCAGTTTGGGTTTCCTTTTCCCAAAAAAAATAATATTAAACGAACATTTGACATTTGTGTTTTGTCTCTTTAGCTCCAAATCCTCCTACATTAGTTTTTCAATTTTCTTGTTTCTGTTTATTTTAAACACTCTAGCACTAATATCTATGCCAGCCCTTTCTCAAGCGCCCTTCCGCTCCACTTGCGCAAAGGGATATATAGTAATCAGTATGTAAGAAGCTGTTAAAAAAAAAAGGTAAAAAGCCGAGAGGAAATTTGAATAAATTAGAGCGAGAGAGTGAAATATTTTCTATCTATTCTACTTACTAAAAAGAAAGACAAAGAGACAAAAAATTCTTCGACCCTAAGCCACCATCAGCCTTTGATTTAGAATTGAACATATAGCACTTTAATCATGCCTGCACCATCAGATTTTCTTCTATCCTTATCCATTGGCAATTTACAAAAGAGAACTACTCAACTCGCCACGATTAACGCAGACAAATTCGGCGAAAGAAGAAGAAGAAGGTGAAGAACATTACCTATTAGACGAAGTATAAGCAAAATCAGTCCAAGAATCGCCATTCCAAAACAGTATTCTACCATCGGCTACACCAGTGTAGGGGCCGCGCCCAAGAGGATCGAATGCCACGCTCTCGGGGCCCTGGACCTGGTCCTTAAACATGATCGTCGACTTCTGCAACAAGTTCTCGCTGTCTCTCTCGGTCGGCACCTGAGACCAGGGGGGCAATTCGACATAGTAGGTCTGAAAGTCGGGGAACTCCGCGATCGCACTGTGCTTGAATGGATCGGTCCCACAGTAGAAAGCGAGCGCGAGGAAGATCACGGCGAGGAGAGCGCCCCACGGCACGGCGGAGGCATTGTTGTCGCTCCGGCGCCCCATAGCAGAGAAAGTAAGATGTTGGGAGATTCTGGTTGAAGAAGATTGTTGGAAGTGGTTGGAGAATGGAGAGGGGATTTCGAAGTTGAAGAGAGGTTGGTAGGTGGGGTTTTATCTGGTTGGTAGTGGATAGAAGGTTGGAGTTATGGAGGGAAGAAGAATCCCAATCCGCCATGGAAAAGCTTCTATTTATTGCTTCCGGACCACACACAAACACCAGAACCTTGGTAATTCAATTCTATGCGGATTAGAACTTTCGAGTCTTGAAGGAGTGGATGGTTAAATTACAATTTTAACCTTACGCAATAGCTTTTCAAGAATTATGTCATGGATACTATGGTAATTATCCAAATCTAATAGTAGTTATCCAAATATCTTTTTTGAATTATAGTTTATAATTTTTTGTTTAGTACAATCAATTTGGGTATTGAAACTCATTACCGGATCAGAAAGATATGTCAAATATTATTAAACTAAGTTCATACTTAATAATTATAGTTTATAAATTTGGTTAATCAACATTGAAGTAATAAGCTTTACAAAAATATGTAAAATTAAATTTATTGTACATTTTTTTAAAGTTTAGGACCAACTAAACATAAATTTAAAAGTTTAGAGATTTATTAGATATTTTCAAAATTTTAATAATTTATTAGATACAAATGTAAAAGTTTACTGTATAAATTTATAACACATACATATGTAGATATATACATGTTACCGTTATTTAATAAGTAGGGTGAAAATACAAATCCACCCATAATTATTCAATTATTTGGTAAAGGTGGAACATAGTTAGTTGCATATTTAATCTTATTTCATGAATGTTATTTATTTTTTGGACGTATTAATAAATATTAATTATCTTTAATTAACTGTCAAATCGAACATAGTTTAAGTGGTTAAGACACCTCTTTTTGACCAAATAATCATAAGTTCAAATCTTCACTCTCACATGTTTTACTAAAAAAAAATATCTTTAATTAACTATGGACCCCAATCAATTATTTAGTTTTAATTACTATGTTTTTTTTAGAAAATATTTTAATTACTATCTATTATCTATACAGCTAATATGTTTAATGCTATTTCAATTATTGAATATTTGTTTTCGTTAGTTATTTTATTTTCTAAATTTTTTATAAGGATATTTTAAAACATTATTTAACCAATTATTGAAATATAATTTTATAATTATTAAATTACTTTTATTATTATTTTTTTTATAAAACAAGTGGGGTGAGGGATCGAATACACAACCTGTTGGTATGCTAGCTTTGACAATTATTAAAATTTATTGAGTAAAATTAAGGGTGTTCAAAAAAACCGACAACTCGAACAACACAACCCAAATCGGTTTAGGTTGGGTTAGAAATTTTTCAGTTTGGGTTGGTTCGGTTCGCGGTTTGAAAAATTATTTGACTGATTCAACCCGAACCGAACCAAACCTTATATTAAATTAAAAAAAATTATATATATATATATAAAAAAGTAAAATTTAGGGTTCCTTGTCGCCTCTCCCTTTCTCCCTCATCTTCTTCCCCATTCCTCCCCCATCTCTTCGTGAATACCCCCCAAAATTTCTCCCTCCCTCCCCCTCTTCTCCGTGAACAACCCAAAAGTTTCTACCTCATCTCTCCTCCATTCTTGATTTCGTTCAGGAAGTCCTTCAGAGAAACCCATCGCTTCGAGTTTCGTATTTCGGTGGAAGAACATCGTGAAGGCGAAGCAACAACTGAAACTTTTCTTCTTCATTCTTCTCCATCGCTTTCTCCTCTTCTGTGAATCATTCACCAAAAAGTCCACTGTATCCTAATCTCCATTGTCGTTTTCTATCCAATGTGCCGGTGTAGTGACATAGATCTAGTTCTTTCCGCTTGAGAGATTATCGCAAGCGTCATATCTCTCCGTCTCACAAACCCTACAATTTCTCCCCCTTCGTTTCTTTGTGTTTGGATTGATTTCTCACAAACTCTACCATAATTTCTCCTTCTGCTCATCTCTCTTTCCCCTCCTCTCTCGTCTCAACCTGGACCCGACAATCCATCCCGACCCGACCCAACTCGAAAACTCGAAAATATAATGGTTGGGTTGGGTTGGAACATATTTTCAGTTCCATTGGGTACCTAAATTGACCAATCCGAAAATTCGGGTTGGTCCAAAGAAATCCCTCAACCCAACCCAATCCGTCAACGTCCTTGAGTAAAACATCCACACCGTATTTGATTTGCTATGGAAAAAATTCACATTAAATATGACGTAGACTATATATATATATGTTTTTTTTAATATAACAAATATGAGATGAGAGATTGAACCTTGTTTAGAGAATAAGGTTAAAAGATGTCTTAATAGTTAAATTAGTCCTATGATGCAAATATGATCTGAAATATTAGTAATGAATTTGTAGTGAAAACTTATCATAAAAAAAAGCTTGAATGTAAAGGCACTCCTGTTATCATTTCTAGGAACATTAATCAAGTGCTTCTCCTAACAAAATATTGTTAATGTTTTTATAGATTTTTAAATTATTTTTAATTATCTCATCAAAGACTATGAAAGTTTTGAAATAGTATCTTCAACAGCTAAAACTACTTTGTAGTCAGAAAGAAAAAAAAAAGGAAAAAAAAAGGAGAATAAAAAGCTAAAACTAATTTTCAATCCTTCCATAAATCATTCCAAACTTATCCTAAGTATTGCATATGTTTATGCTAACCAACCATGCAAATAATCAAATTAATTTGATGTGTGGTAATTAAACATGTATAACCAAATTACAAAACTATCACCAACAAATAGTTGATCTCCTTAATTAAAAACCATATATATTCTTTTGAAAAAAAGTTTAAATAAAAACCATGTATATTCTTTATATGGTTTTCCATGTCCTGTATAGTAAATCAAAAAACTTCGACATTTGATCATATTTATTCGGTATTTTTTTAGTTCAACAATTTATGAGAATGGAGGATTTCGATCCTTAAGATGGTAATAAATATCTTATCTACTAAGCTAAGCTATGTTTAATAATAATTCATATAGTAGTTTTTCTCGTGTTACGTGTAACCTTAACAAATTTAATTGAAACGTTAAAGTAAAATATAGTGTATAAAGTTAATTAAATTTTGCATGAGGAAAAAAAAACAAAAGAAAAAGAAAAAGAAGTGTTTAAAGAATGAATAATAATAATTATTATTGTAAAGCAGCATCAGTTTGCATAATTTTTTTAGGTGGAGAAGAGGACAATGCAAAAAATGACAATAAGGAACCAACTGCCACAAAAGCGTTAAAATTCCCATAAACTAAGTCCAACTGATAACAGCACATAAGGCATGATATGTCTTTTGTTCTTATATTGATAATCCTAATTTTAAATAACTTATGAGAGGGAGAAATGCCTTTTGTACTCTTATATATATATTAAGTCCCTTTTAGAGAGAGAGACTAATTGGGTCGAGGGTCGAGGGCGAAGGGCCGAGAGTCGAGAGTTGAGGGAGAGAGATGTGGAAGTTGAAATTCTCGAAAGAATGGGAAACCAGCGAGAACAATCATATAGGAAGACAATATTGGGAATTCGATTCAAATCTTGAATCCTCTGAGGAAGAAAGAGTTCAAGTGGAAAATGCCTACAATGAATTTCGCCAGAATCGTTTTCAAGTTAAACAGAGTTCTGACCTTTTAATGAGACTTCAGGTTATAGAGTTATATCATTTTTGTTTTATTTTTAATTTATCTCTTTCTCTTTTATCCTTGTTTTTAATCTCTCTCAAAATAAATAATTATTTTCTCTACTTGATTGGATTGATGGTGATATGAGAATTGAGAAGAGAACTTAATCAGATTTTCCATTAATCAATTTATTTAAGCACAAAAAATAAAAATGGTACGTTCTTTTTATGTTTTTTTTTTCAATATATTCTATGATAATAACACCCGTTTCTCACACTTTTTTAAGACTATATGTCATAAATTATTGCTTGTTTTATTCGAATATATCTCAAGGAATAAGATGTCAATTAATTTTCATCCAACTAAAAAGCCAATTAAATAAAAAAGAAATTCTGAAGTTGTATTCTACCCTTTATTGAGGATTGCTTTTAAAACTATTCTACAGTATTGAGATGGTTTTAAACAGTAATTGATTTAATTTGTTTTGTAATTTATTTTTTTCAAGTTTAACGTAACAAATTATTGATAAGAGAGTTTGAACCTACAACTTCAAGAAAAAGAATATTGACGAATTAGAGATATTTTTTTTCAAGTTTTACCACTAAGCTATATTCATGTTCACGTTGACGAAACAATCTAATTTCAAACTATGATTATAAACCATCATATTACTAGATCTTCATGTCAAATAGATTTAGCAATTTTAATTAAATGGGTAATTGAAGTAATATGAGGTAAAAATAGTCAATTCATTGGTTGGCAGCTTATATATATAAATTATTGAACTTTGCTTGGGCACTTGAAGAAACATAATAAATTATTGAACATGAGTGTTTGAATGAACAATTGGATTATTATTATTANAGAACCAACAAAAGAAAAAAAAAAAAGACAATACAAGAGTCGTTTGCCAAAAAAAATATTGAGTCTCAGCTAATAACGATACATGATATTGTCAAAGCGAGTATAACTCAATATTAATCGACATATATCTTCAATGAAGAGGTCGTGAGTTCGATCCCCTACCTCACATGTTGTATTTAAATTTCTTAAGAAAAAACGCATAAAATTAAATTCAAACTCCAAAACTTTCTTCCTGATCCTATTAAAGTTATGTGAAAGAGATTTTCTACCTTAAAACTAAGGTTAAATTACAACTTTGATTCCTAAATTTATAAACTATGTCTAATAAATTCTCATTTTTCAACAAATTTCTAACGAGTTCTTGAACTTTTAAAGTTATGTTGATCTAGTCCTTGTGATTTGAAAATCTTCTTATACGTAAATAATTCAAAAAGCTAAAGTGTGAGGAAGTCGATATATAAATAGCACAAAATTGAAAGTTTTGTGGAACTTATTCGAAGCTTTTTAAAACATATAAACCTATTAAATATGGTTTTAAAAGTAGGTAAATTTAATTATTGAATATATTATTGGAGATATAGCTAAAAAAGGAGAATGGAAGTAAGGGGAAGTTACCAAGTGAAATAAAAATTGAGAGTGAAGAAGAAATAAGTGAGGAAGCAGTTGAAATAACGCTGAGAAGGGCAATCAGATTCTACTCAACTTTGCAGACACAACATGGCTTCTGGCCCGGTGACTATGGCGGCCCTCTGTTTCTTCTTCCTGGCCTGGTATTTATAATTTTTTATTATTTTTTTGTCCTTCTTATTTATTTTATTATAATTATTCTACATTTTAGTTTTTTCCTTTCTCTTCTAATTTTTAATTTAAACCCTTTTGCGGCTTTGTTTTATATTTGTAAAGATCATATTCTCATAAATGGGTCCGATTGGTTCTAATTTTAATGTCATTTGTTTTCTTTACTATTATTATTATTTTTTTTTTATTTTTTTGAGGTCTGACGATTTCAGACCAACCTTTAAAATTTTGAAATTTTAAACTTTTGTGGAATAATAAAAAATCAAAATTATTATAAGTATTTTTTAGTTCGACAGATACATGATTACATTGAACCTGAGGGATCGTACTTCAATTTTGAGAAGAAGCTTAGGTTGATTGGTTGGATAAATTTAATTCATATATAAATTTTAACATGTATTTTATTTTTACTAAGTTTTGTTTTGATTAACCTATTATTATCGATTTTAAATCTACCAAATCAATTATTATGTATAAAAATAATAAAAAACATTTCATAGTACAATAAAATGATATTAGACTATTAGAGATCATATCATATGCGGGACCATGTTTATATTTTAAATTCTTATTTTGTTTTTTTTCCCAAACGGTCCCCTCCTTCGTCATTGATGATAGATTTTGATTTGAATTTAAACTTTAATTTTTAAAAAATAATTCTAAAAGGTTCTTAAAGAGAAATTATCGTTAATAACTCAGGGAAAACAATGGTCACTATATTTTAAGTTATTCCAAGTTCAGGTGGCTACGATAACCCTAGCTTCAATTAACTTCAATTGTAATCGGTGATAGTCTTTGTCTAGAGTCTTCAATCTTTTCGTGGTTCCTTTTGTTTTTCTTTGATCTCTCAAATTTCCACATTATGTGACACTTAACAATAATTTGACTTTAATAACCTTTTAGAACGGTTTCTTAAAATTGGGACTAAACTATTAATTTTAAAAATATGTGGACCAAATAAACATCTAATAAATTTGGGGACAAAAGTATATTTTATTCGATAACAATGTGGCCATCATCTCCAAATTAAACTAACAATGTAATTTTGTACGTAACAACCATGTCTTTTGTTGTTGTTGATTCTTTATTTCATTTTCAGGAACGGTCCCTAATTTCCCACTTTTAATAATTCTAATTAGTGTACGGATTATGAAATTTAGACACTTGATGTACAAAATTAATATTATTGTATGAATGAGTCAATAGCAGTTGTGTCCGAGTCAGAAATACTTTATTTGTATATTTATATATGTGCGTGTTTGTATGTATTTTAATGATATAAATATCAAGTTGGCTATCAGAAAAATAAAAATATGGAAAGATTTAAGTGGGAATGTGGTTGGTAGAAAATCGAGAAATTCCATTCCATGACAAAAATTTAATATATATTTTTAAAAATATCACAACATTTTATATTTTTATAAATATAATATAAATTATAATGACTTTTCTTAATCGATTTTACCTTACATTCCAATTTGATTTTAAATTATACTATTGTTATAAAATTTCAAAATTTCTACTATATTTATTTTAAATAAATACCTCTAGAAATTTTGAAAGTAGTTAATGAAAATAAAAATATATTACTTACCTGTGATTTGGTTTGTTAGGTGATTGGGTTAAGCGTGACGGGAGCCTTTGATGCAGTCCTCTCGTGCCACCATCGAAAGGAGATTTGTCGCTACCTTTATAATCATCAGGTTTGTTTGTTTTTTCTTGCACAATTAATGTTTACTATTTTATTTTTCTTTTTGTCAATTTAAATATTGTTTAACTGATGAAGACATATATTATCGACTAAAAGATCGAATGTTCGAATCTTTACCTCATATGTCGTTGAACTAAAAAAAATGAAATTATCTTTTTTTTATCCATTATTGCATTACAATTAATGTTCATATATCTTTTTTTTTGCATTTATATATCATTATTTTTTATATTTGGTGATAGAAAAAATATTCAGATAAAATGAAACTTTAAAAAAATAGAGATAAATTAAAAAAATGACGGGATGGAAAGGAGTTATCCATTTAATCTAATTATTATATAGTTATTTAAAATTTAGAGAGCAAATAGTAACTATCTTTTTTTCATTAAAAGAAAAAAAAAGATAAAGAGTAATTATCTTCTCTTTCCAAATTTTAATAAAATGGAAAATCGTTACTGACGTGGAAATTAATATATCCGTTCAGAACGAAGATGGAGGGTGGGGATTGCATATAGAAGGGAGCAGCACAATGCTCTGTACGACTCTGTCATACGTCAGCTTGAGATTGTTGGGAGAGGAAATGGACGGTGGCGATGGAGCGTTGGGTGATGCAAGAAGATGGATTCTGGATCGAGGTGGGGCCACCTCCATCCCCTCTTGGGGGAAATTCTGGCTCTCCGTAAGACTGTCCGCATATTTTAATCTTCCTTCCATTTTTATTTTTTATTTAAGTAATTAATTAATTATATAATTAAGTGAATTCTTGACGGTCAAATAATCGTTTCATCATTTTTAAATAAGTTAAAAATGAATAATATTAATATTATATTTATATTAGTAAAATTTTGTTAATTTTTTTATGTTTTGTAAATTTTTTTATAATATTTTTGAAATGTCGATTTACTTCTTATAGATATTGAATCATGCATGCATGGGCATATTGACGGGGATATTTAATATTGAATTAAGTAACTTATTTTGATATTTAGGTCCTTGGCGTGTATGAATGGGAAGGAAACAATCCGCTTCCACCTGAGATATGGCTCTTGCCTTACTTTCTTCCCTTGCATCCAGGTTTTTTCTCTCTCTATTTTGTGTTTTTTATTTTTAGAAATAAAAAATTGCATATATTGTTTTTTCCTTTTCTTTTTTTTTTTTCTCGGTGAAGCTGAATGAAAAACAAAATTAAGTTGAAGTTGTTTTGGCCCATCTGATAACAATTTTACATTTTTTAGGATTAAAATTGTTTATTTAGAAATCTACTCAAAGTAATAATATTGAAAAATAAATTACTATTCAAAAAATGACGAAGATTGATTGTCACGCGCAGGAAGAATGTGGTGTCATAGTCGAATGGTGTACTTGGCAATGTCATATTTATATGGGAAGAGATTTGTAGGACCAATCAACTTCATCATAATGAATCTTAGGCAAGAACTTTACATACGTCCTTATCATACTGTTGATTGGAATCATTCTCGAAACCTATGTGCTAAGGTATACCCTATGTAATCGTTGGTTTTTCTAAATTTTTTTTTTCATCTATCTCAATCAATAAATAAATTTAAGTAATTTCAATAATTATATTTTCTAGAAAAATATAATGCTCATCTCTCGAAGAAAAAGAGACATATCACGTGAATTATACGATAAAAGTTAAAAGAAATAGTTACATAATAGACTAGACTTTTTTTTTCAATGCTTTAGTTACCCACTTATCCTATATTCTTTTAATCAAATAGTACATTGTCTAACCTACTCGATCATAACATATAAAATAATTTAATTATATAAATCTCTCATCAAAGCTAATTATTATATAATCATTCATACCTTGTATTCTTGTGGTAAGGATGAGAAATTTTTCATGAAGTTAAGTTATTTCTCATATTACTTGAAGTAGTGATATTTTTATGAAGTCAAATGCCCTACACTGATTACAGTTTTGATCAGTCAAGACAATGAACCCCAATGATAAAGATTCAGTTTTAGTGTAAGTCACATGACATCGATTCCGAAAAATAAAAAAAATTACTTTTTTCCAACTTTAACTCTAACCCAATTCTCGCGAGTAGGAAGACTTGTACACCCCACGTTCCAAGGTACAAGATATGTTATGGGATTCAATTCACAAGTTTGGGGAACCATTTTTGAAGAAATGGCCTCTCACAAAGCTCAGGCAAAAGGCTCTTGACCTTGTGATGAAACACATTCACTATGAGGATGAAAACACTCACTATCTTTGTCTTGGACCTGTAAACAAGGTATATTTAGGACTCATTTGGTAACGCTCCTGTTTCTTCTTTCTTTATTTTTAATGAAGAAAAATGTGTTGCATGGTTTCAACCTCCAAGAATTCAAATATGATAAAACAATGTTTTTATTTATGTTTTGGAACAAATTGAAAATGAGAATAGAGAAACTTGTTTTGATTGTTCCTAAAATTTCTATAGAGAATGTTCCTAAAAAATAGAAACAATAAACAAAGTTAGTTGTAAAATACTTAGAAACAAGAAACGAGAATGTTATCAAACGGACCCTTAGTTTCTTCTTCCATTTGAGCCCATTTTTCTAATATGGAATTAATATGATTAGCCATGTGTGGGCTTTTTAATTTGTAGGTGCTAAACATGGTGTGTTGTTGGGCCGAGGATCCAAACTCAGAAACATTTAGAACACACATCTCAAGAATCAAAGATTATCTTTGGCTAGCTGAGGATGGAATGAAAATGCAGGTTCCTATATAATTAATTCTCTTCTCCTATACTTAGGGTAGTGAGCCCTAAAAATCTTTTATATATGCATTTTACATTAATATTTTTAAAATAAAGTACTTTGGTAACGAGTATTTTCATAAAAATATATTTAATGACTAATCATTTTGATGTTTGGTTCTAAGTCGTTAAAAGTATTTTCTAAATGCTCCCTCGGATAAAGTTTTCTCACATGATATTTTGCTTTTTACTTTATTCAAAAATTGTTTAAAATCACCCTCATATACAATGATTTGAAATGAGACGTAGTTTTGGTTACGACAAAATTAAAATGCTTCTAGTCATACTTTAGATTATATTTGAAAACACTCTCAATTTGTCTCTATCCCAATGTAGTAACTGGAATTTTTGGGAGGACTTGTTTCGTGAGAAACAAATGACTCTTAAAGAAAATAGATTAACTTAGGAGTTTGACTTGTAGGTCTCTCACTTCACCACCGACCTCTCTTATGCAATGACGAGAATTATTAAAAACCTACATTTATTGAGATATTGTTCTTATTTATAAACTCAATTGATCGACGAATTTATTGGTGGGTGCTCGCAGGGATACAATGGATCTCAATTATGGGACGTAGTTTTTGCCGTACAAGCTATAGTTGCAACTGATCTAGTTGAAGAATATGGTTCAACACTGAAGAAAGCCCATGATTTTATAAAAAACTCACAAGTATAATTTCATTAAGCTTGATTAATTTGAAAATATGATAAATTCACTTTTGATTTTTAGAAGTTCACAAAGCCAAGTTTTCAAGTTGGATTTTTGTATTAATGAAAATTAGATGAGGAGAAATGGGGTTGGACATCCTAGTGATTGGTACCGCCACGTGTCAAAGGGTGGATGGTCCTTCTCAACTGCCGACAATGCCTGGCCTGTCTCTGACTGTACTTCCGAAGCTTTGAAGGTAAAAATTAATATTCTTTTAATTTACACATTAAAAAAATACTTTTCACAAATCCTTTTAACTTCAATTTTTGAATTTGGTGAATAAAGATGTAATAGAGAATTTGTTGCAGGTAGTAGTTTTGCTATCACAAATGCCATCTACAACCGTGGGTGAGCCGATAGCGGTAGATAGATTATATGATGCTATTGATTTGATTCTATCACTTCAGGTAATTATATTTATAATCGTTTTAAATTTGAAAGCGAAAATTAATTATATAGAAAGTTTGACCGTTCTCATAATAATTATATTTCATGACTTCAAATAATATAATTGGTATATTACAAAAACCATAATCCATCGATGTATACGCATAATCATTATTGATATGCAGAATTCCAACGGAGGATTTGCATCATATGAACTTACAAGATCCTATCCATGGCTGGAGGTAAAAATTCTGTTTCCAAAATTTTCTTCCCAAAGCATGTAGAAGGATAGTTTTTACAATACTAATATAAAATTTTTGTTTGTTTTAGATGTTGAATCCAACTGAAATATTTGGAGATCTCATGATTGACTATCCGTAAGATATTGTTGGACGCATGATTTTGAATGAGACAACGAGTCAGTGTCCTAATTAATGTGGACTTTCTAATCATACTAGTTGGACACCTATAATAAGGACTTTGCATTTGTGTGACTAAGTACTAACTTAAGCTTGAAAATGTACGTACGTGTTTGAATACCACACTGGTGCAAAGTTCTAATTGTAGTCTCGCCAACTCATCTAACTAGAAGTCCACGTAAACTCGGATTCTGACTCATCGCCTTATCCACAATCTTCCATAAACAGATATGATTTCTTTTGCTAATGAGCAATATTTCAAAGGCCATTGTTTGGATTAGAAAAACTAAAAAAATCTATTGGTAATATTGAAGATATGTGGAGTGTACTTCAGCAGCAATTCAAGGACTTAAAGCATTCATGAAGCTGCATCCAACTTATCGCAAGAAAGAGATACAAACATGCATTTCCAAAGCTGCCAACTTCATTGAAAGCATCCAGCAGCATGATGGATCATGGTAGATTACCTTTATCTTTGACCTTTTAGAGTGTTGTTTATGGCGTCTATTCGATAATCAATCATCATAACATTAATATGTTTCTCTCGAATAACCTACCTCACATATTTTGACAAACGATTTTCAAACTATTTTTAAGAAACTGAGATAGAGCGAAATTTACAAAGGTTAGTGTTATTGTGAACATCGAAGTGCTTATTCACACAAAATTATGATTTTAAAAGAAAGAGTAATTTGTTTTGAGAAAGAAGAAGCACAAAAGATAGCTTTTTAAGAAATATGTTATTTAAAAATATTTGTTCGAAATCTTTAATATAAAACAAAAATTTAGCAGGAGCTCATACTCATTTTTATTTTTATTTGTCTATATAACACATTGTCACTCGCCACTCAGAACTCCTATGGATTTGTGTAGAGCTGTTTTGAAAAATAAAAAATACCATACGAATCATAAAGATTGTATTACATTATAATTTTTTAGCTAATAATTCTAGATTATAACTATTTTAGGTATGGATCATGGGGAATTTGCTATACATATGGCACATGGTTTGGGATCAAGGGATTGGTTGCCTGCGGGAGGACCTATGATAACAGCAAAAGCATAAGAAAGGCAACTGACTTTCTTCTTTCCAAACAACTTAAATCTGGTGGTTGGGGAGAGAGCTATCTCTCAGCCCATCACAAGGTACATTTTATTCGATCATCATCTATCAACAATAATTTAGAGCGGATGTACATGCTCAAAATGTATAGAGAAGCAAAATTCTGACCCGATCTTGAAAGAACAACAACAGAAATTAACATTAGATTGATCTATATTTTGGAAGGAATGTCCGTATTCAATTATAGAGAATCAAAGTACCAACCTTAAAAAGAAAGATTGTCTAGCTATAACATCCCCTTTTTTCTCAATTGCATTAATGGTGGACAGGTGTACACCAATCTCAAAGGCTGCAAATCACATCTAGTCAACACTTCATGGGCCTTATTGGCTTTGCTCAAAGCGGGGCAGGTATTCCTTCCATTAATATAATATATATATATATATTATATTATTTTAGTTACCTAGATTTTATACGTTTTCAAAATATCTATTTCTGTCTCTGTATTTTTATAATTTATAAAGTAACTATCTTGATTCTTTCATTTTAATTTTTACTTATTTTTTCGATTATATTTTTAGCCTGCACTAAATTTGTTGAAACGTAGTTAGAATATTATTAAATAGTTTACCGTGGGTATAAAATTTGAATTAAATTAATCACTTTTTATAAACACGTACAATAACTAAAAGAATAAAAGTTAAAATACATTAATTTTAAGTAGAAATTAAAGACATTAAGTTAGTATTTAAAGTCTATTTATTTCTTTGTTTGACAACTCAATTTCGTGAGAAAAAAGTCATTTGATCATTGGGTAGGTACAAAGAGACCCATCTCCTTTGCATCGAGCAGCAATGGTGCTAATTAATTCACAACTCCACGATGGAGATTTCCCACAACAGGTTTTTTCTCTCTCGAGATTGCTTTATGAGGATATAAAATAATATGGTTGAAAATTGGATTTTTTTTTTATTGGTCCATTTTTGTTTAATTAATTAATTTGATGAATTTTGGTAGGAAATCATGGGAGTTTTCAACAAGAGTTGTATGATCAGTTACTCAGCCTACAGAAACATATTTCCAATATGGGCCCTTGGAGAGTATCGCATTAAGGTTTTGCAGCCTCATGCAAAATGCTAGTACCTTTATATATGTGTTACATGAAAAAAAAAATTAAATTGGAAGTCATGTATAGGGAAATAAAAATATCACATAGTTAAAATGTTTTTGAAAAATGTTTAAATATATATATCCAGAAAATATTTTGCTATTATTTAATTATTAGGACTTCGGACTTGTCAATGTTAATCTCTACCATGCATATGTATAATATTTTTTAGTTCGCATGTATACCTTATTCACTTATATATAGAATTTGAGAAACATGAATGAGTAATCAGAGAAAGAATTAAATAAAATCTAACTAAAAATTTTGTATATCTAAACTAGAAGAAAGGAGAATTAAATTTAAATTGGAAAGTCAATTCCTTATAAGAATTATAGATTTCTTTTTTGTTATTAATTTTTTTATATAGTTTAGTACAAATTCAAAATAATTTTACTCACTTCCATTTATATATGATATCAAGAAAAATAAAATAAAATTTTAATTAAAAAAAACTAATTAAGGATCATAACATTCTATATTTGTTATTATTGTATATTTATAGGGACATGTTTAAGTTAAAACAAATACAACTTTCAATGAGTCTAAATAATCTAGTTTAACCGGTTCATTCAAACAAATCAAGGAATATAATTTCAACAAATAGTTTCAAAGTCCATAATATAGAAGGCAGGAAATAATTTTTAATTCTAGATCTAATTTGAAATGAGAAAGATTTGAAAGAAATGTAATTAAAATTATTTGTTTTTAATTTTAACGGAAGAAAAAAAAAACAATAATTTTACTTTACTACGTTTCAATCCTGATTTACAAATTGAAAATTAAAATAGAACAAAGTCAAATTAGTAATTTACATTAAAAAGTTATCTTAAAACCCAGTACGTAGAATCCAACCATTTCAATCTAGAAACCACTCATAAAAAGTAAAACCAAAATTCAAAACTAATTAAACTTTCAAATTGTTCAAATTACTGATAAAAACAGATTTCAAACATAGTCGCCCACTCGAATATAATCCAACATATTAAAACATATATATATATATATATATATATATATATATATACACACATACATATGTGTGCGCTGCACGTGAGGGCTCATGACATAACACCCAACTTTATTAAAACCGAAATTACGAAATCACCCCAGTACGAACACGTGGCGAGAGAGAGAGAGTGGGATTAGTTGGGCGGCGCGTGGCGGAAGAGGCGGACGGGGAGGCCGTGGACGGGGGTGAAGATGGAAATGGAGGTGACTTTTTCGTCGGGAATGCAAAGCTGGAAGCTGAAGCGCGTGACCAGGTGGTGCATAAAGACGAGGAGCTCGAGCCGGGCGTACTCCTTTCCAGGGCACATCCGCGGGCCGCCGCCGAACGGCACGAACGTGAACGGCGCCGGCCCTTTCCCTTCGAACCTCGTCGGGTCGAACTTGTACGGCTCCGGGAAGTACGCCGCGCTTCTGTGTGTCGCCGTCGCACTCCAAAGTATCTTCCGTTCCGTTCACACGTGAACCAAAACCAAACATTATTTCCCGTACGTCTTTTTTACTTAATTTCCTTCAATATAAAATATAACATTGACAAAATGCATTTAACGTGATTCACGATGGAAACACGGTGTCATGGAGTCATGGGTGACGTCTCACGGAAATTACTTGAACTCAAGGACATAATATTATTATTATTGTTGTTGTTGATTAATAAGAGTGGGGTGAGTGTGAAGTTACCTTCCAGCCCTTAGGAATATTGAAGCCATCGAATACAAAGTCTTTGAGGGCAACTCTGAAAGCTCCTTGAACTGGAGGGGTGAGCCTGAGCACTTCACAGATTACGTTCCATGAATACTTCATCTTTTGGATATCTTCCCAATTCAACAGCTCTCCCGCTGCCTTTGATCTTGCTATCTCCGTTTGCTCTAATTATTCCCAAATATCAACGTAATTGTAAAACATAATACTCTCCAAAACTTTTAAAAATAAAAGTTAAATCAAACCTTCCAAATTTGTGTGCCTAGTGTATTTTAATTTGTTTCTTTTTCTCTTCATTATTCAAGTAACACAGATCTAGAAAACATAAATTTGAAAAAAACTAAAGATTTAACTAAAAAAAGGGCTATTTTTAGAATTGTGAACTATAATTTTGGTTGTAGATTTTAAAATTGAATCTCAATTTTAAAAATATATATTTTTTAATTCTATTTAGTAAGATATTGTAAACTAACCAATTAAATATTTAGTTTAATAGTTTAATCTAAAAAAATTATTGATTTTTCTGTTAATATGTAGTCATAAATTTTGTCGTTATATAATTTATAATATATTATAGTATGTGAGATTTTACAGTCTATTTATCCGTAATTTAAAATTGAAAATATGAAAATGTAGTTGTGAGAATTTGATCACAGGAGGTAAAAACAGTTTTCAACAACAAATCTAAAAAAACAAAAAAGACAATTTCACTGAATCTGAAACAACAATCGACATACCAAACATGTCAGAGATTATATGACAATATACGATAAACGGGTGAATGGGTAGCAGATAAATTACCATCGTAGACGTTTTGGTAGACGTGGGGGTTAGAGGCCAAGAACTTGACAATGAAAATGCAAGCAGTGACAGTAGTGTCATGGCCGCCGACAAGGAGGCCGAGAATTTTGGAGGAAGCGTCTTCTTCGTTGGTGAGCTGAAGCATGTGCGACAGAATGTCTTGGTTGCCCGACGCCTTCCCCTCCGCCATCTCCGCCTTTCGCTGCTTCACAATCTTCATTATCTTCCCCCTCACAAACTCCGACGCCTTTATCCCCTTCCGGAACAACGTCCCTGGAAAATCTATCGGCACCGATATCGTCCCCCTCCCGATCTCCTCGAACCTCTCTAGGATCCTCTCCACCTCCTCCGGATCCTCGACCCCCATGAACAGCCGACACGCCAGCCCGAACGTGTAGCTGCAAGTAACAGCCGCCAGAGACTAAATTGTTACCGATTTCAAAAATGTATGCAGAGTATTTTTAGAAGTATTATAAATTAAAATAGGAGTTGAGTTGGTTACTATTTGACAGTGTGAGCGACGAGGATTTGGGATTTGTTATCCCAATGGGAAGCGAAGTGGAGTTGGGCCATGGAGTCCATAACGCCCACGTAACGTTTGAGAGCTTCGGGTCTGATGAACTGAGGGAGGAGCGAGATGGTTTCCACAGCTTCCTGATCCGCCGGGCCGGGGGCGCTTGGGAAAACTTTGGCGGCGGATTCCGGCCACCACGGAGTCACCAGCTTCCCCTCGTTGGAGAACAGAAGCTTGTTCCCGGCGGCGGAGCAGAAGGCGGCTGCCGGCTCCCCGACGATCGAAGTCGTGAAAACCTCCGTCTTGTACTTGGCGGTGCGGTCGAAGAAGAACTTCTCCGGCTCCCCTTTCTTCCGCGTCGCCGCCATCTCCAGGCTTTCGCCGAATATCGGGTAGCCGGAGGTGCCCGGCGGGATGTTCCGGTACGCGAACTGCGCCCGGTGCCGCCGGAACAGCAGCAACAGCCCACCACAGACGCACGAAACCAACACAACCACCGCCGACAATAACAGATTCTCCATGAACTACTTGTAATTTTCTTCACAGCCAGCTGAGCTTTTTTAAAGCGCTGTCTCAAGGGGAAAAAAAACTTCCTTTTTAATATCATTAAACATTCCACGACTCATTGTTTTTCTATAATTTTATTTTCTTTTACATTTCTCTCTTAAGGTTATTTCTGATAAGAAACTAAGTATTTTTTGTATCTTAAATAGTAATCGTTCTACAATCTTGTTTGATACATTAAATATTTGATAAGTACGAGCGAAAAATGTAAAATAATTTAAAAAATAATAATAATGAATTGTTGATTTTTTAATAATATAAGATTTGGTCTGAGTAAGTATTTTATATTAACAATTATTTCTGCCTCTTTGGGGTTGGGGCCCTTCCGTAACGATGCTTTCAAATTCTACATTTATCTTCCAAATCTTCTTGTTGTGGTTTAACATTAAATATATAGTATGATTTTGTATTTCTATGAATTATATGCATAGCAGGATTTCTTTTAATATTGTGAAAATAATAATTTTTTATTTAAATATATTTCTTTTTTTTTTAATTTCTTCTCACTAAGCGTCTTTTTTGTAATATCATTTACTCTTTTTACGGAATGCCGAAAAAAGGGAGAATATTGTTGAAATAAAGAGGACTTTTTGAAAAAAAAAATTGAAAAAAAAGGCTGGTTGGCATACTTAAACGTGAGATGAGAAATGAGGAATGCGGGAGAATATTACATGGAGTTGTTATTTGGTGAGAGAGATACTTGTGAAAATATTCCTAAAGGAATCAAATTTACTCAATAATTCATCCGCTAAACCTTTATTCATTTTTAACATGGTATCAGAGTGAGAGGTCTCGTATTCAAACCTTTGCATTGTCGTTTCTTTTCCATTTATTATGATTCTTTGCAATTTTTCAAAATAGTGTTGGTCTCATATATTTATTATAATTACTTTGTAACTTTTACCATTTCTCTCTTATCTATCAAGTTTTACCATTTCTCTCTTATCTATTAATTAAACTCGTAACTTTTTTAATTAATTATGTTATATTAATTTCTTTTTCATCTATATACCACTAATAATTTTTCTTCTAATAAAAAAATATATGATTTTTATTAGTTAATGTGATTTTATTATACAAAATTATAAATTAATATTAATTTTTTTACTTTATTATTATGAATTAATATCAATAGATGTTTTAAAAAATAATTCAATATATTAATTATTAGAATAATAAAATTTTATATTAAATGAGGGTTGTTTTAATAAAAAAAATATTTTAGCTGATGTAATTTTAGTTAATTATTCATTATTTACTAAAGTTAAATAATTTTTTTATAATAACAAATATTAACTATCTTTATTTTACAGTGAAATATTTATTATCAATAATATAGTAATAAAATAAATTATTATTATTATTATTATTATTATCATAATTAAAAAAAATTAACGTATTTATAATTAGTTAGTAATAAGAAATGGATATATTAATAATTTTCATATACCTAATTCCAATTCTGAATTTACTCTCACAGTTTTAGTAAACAATATTAAAATAATTTTGATCCCATTTTATTTTTTTGATAATTAAACAGGCCTAGAATGAAAAAGAAGGAGAAGAAAAATAACAAAACGTTAAAAAAAAATTGGGAATGGAATGACGAGAAGAGGAAAACAAAAACAAGAAACCTAATCTAATTAAAAAATAAAATAAAATAACAGAATTTAAACATTAAAAATTAGGAGCTTCATTTAAATATTGAAAATTTAAACAAATTAAAAAGTTTGAGATTTGTCATTATGAATTTCATTTGAAAAAAAAGATTGCAATATCAAAAGTGGCAGACACTTTGACAATTGCAGCAATCTACCACACATCTGCTCTGCCCCCGCATAGTCGAGATTTTTTAATTAATTATTAAATATATATATATATATATATATATATATATATWTTTTAATACAACATATGGAGAATGATTCGAACTCACAACCTCTTGGTTAAAGGTATATGCTCGAGCTAGACTCGCTTTGACTCTTAAAAATATATAATTATATATATATATTATATAATAAAGATAAGAATATCATACGTCAAAACAAGCATAGCTCCCGGATAATTTGTATATATATCTCGAAATAAGAGTTTGTGAGTTCAAACCCCCACCCCACATGTAGAATCAATATTTTCATTCTCTTTGATAGTGTTTACCAGAATGTAATCAAATAGTGGGACCTAACCATAAACTTTTAATTTCATTCTCATTTCTTGTTTCATCCCCTACAATTATTATAATTAACTTCTTTTTATTAATTATTTTATACTTTATTATTTATTTTTCATTTATACTCCTAATAGTTTCAACATTAGTTAGTGTAATTTTATTATAAAATTTTTATTTAATTTTAATTCAACATTTTTATTATTAATTAAATATCAATAATTTTTTAAAAAATATAATTCATTGTTATTCAATATTATAATAATAAAATTTAATAATATTTTATATTAAATGATGGTTCTAATAAAAAAAATTTTAGTTGCTGGGATTTTATCTTAATTGTATATTATTTATTAGTATTAAATAAATTATTATATGACAAAAAAAAATTACTATCAGTAATACAATAAAATAAATTTATTGCTATTTTAATTTAAAAAATTGTACAATAATATATTTGTAATACACTAGAAAGAAGAAATGAACATACTAGTAATTATTATATATCTGATTCCGACGATTACAAACAATTTTAGTGAACAACATCAAATGAATTTTTATTCTAATTCCAGCAAATTTATGTTATTATTTATTTCTTCTAACTCATTCTCGTTGCAAATTGAGTAGTAAACAGGACTTAAAGGACTTAGACAACATAATGATGGATTGGATTGCGTCTCTTTCAAGGCACACATCTACTGCCTGAGAAGTGTTAAATGTAGTCATTATTTTGGTGAGAGAGATATTAAATGAAGCCATTATTTTAGTAAGAGCCCAACAGATATTAACTGAAGTGGTTTACTGGGTAGGGGGTTGTGTAAGTAGATTTTAGTAATTTGGTTGGTAAAAAAAATAAAAATTTCAGATTTTTCTTTTGGAAATTAAGATATTTGTGAAAAGAAATGGGAGAAATTTGGGAAGCTCATTTTTGGAGAGAGATGCACGTGTGTGGAGTTGACATGTGGCTTTAGAGAAAAAAAAAATAGAAAGAAAGAGGACGAAAAAATAACCTTCTTTGTGTTATGGTAAGTGAGACCAAATGGAGGAATGAAAGGAAAAGATTCAAACTTTTTTTAGAGACGAGTGAAATTGGTAACTAAATTATGTTGGTTAGGTAAATTATGCAAATTATGTTGGTTAGGAAGGAATTTGTGAAAAGGAATGGAGGAAATTTGGAAATGGGGACATGTTGAATATTTGTTAAGACTAACCCTTTTTTTATACAAAATGTTGGGGTGGAAAATCAAACTTACCACACTTTAATTATTGCTTATATATAAAGTAATTTTATTATTATATAAATAAAAGTGTATATATATATATATATATATATATATATATATATATATTATATGTAGGGCTCACATATTTAGAAGTAAAATAACTTCTCCGCCTATCTCACGTTCTCTCTTTGAGTTTAACGGTACATTCTCTACTATTTGTTATGTGATTATTAATTTTTAATTTACTTTCACCTCCATTATTATTTGCATCTTCGCATACTTTTTTCATTATTCATTTTTATTTCTTGAATTTTTCTCCCTTCAAAGTTCAAACTAAATGTTTTCCTTTTTTTTTTACAACTTTAATTACTCTGCATTTCACCCTTTAAATTAGGTATAACTTTTCAATCTATTTTCTATTTTTTCGGTTTTTTATTACTTTTTTTTTCTCATTCCACTATAATCATTTACATCTTTTTCATTTTTTTAATGTATAAAAATATTTGAATGGAGTCATCCTCATGAAAAAAGTAAATATATAAGTATGTTATATTTAATTATTTACATTTTTAAATTTATTATTTTTTTGAATTTTGATTATTTTATTAATAATACATTTTTTTGCCATTTTGAGTAAAACTTTAGATTTAGTTGAAAATTTTGTTTCAAATTAATGGTTAGCCGATAACATATCATTCAATCAAATGAATTTTTCGAATAAGTTCATGACATATTTTTGAATATATGTAAATTTATTATTCATGTTTTATTATTCGATCTTTGTACACCTATTTAAAAAAAGATATCAAAATGAGAAACAAATAAAATATATATTGTATTTAGTTTTTAAGTTTGGTTAATTATCCACTTTTTAAGTTTGGTTGAATATATTTTTAAGTTTTTGATTTTATTTAAAATAAAATTTTAAATAAAAAGAACCTATCAAAATGGGTAACAAATAAAATCTAATTATAATACGATTAAACGATACAAAACAATTAGTTAACTATTTAAAAATAAAATTACCAAAAAAATGAAAACATTGAAATATAATAAACAAGCATTTGTTCTTATTGTTCAAATCCAAATTTTATTGGTTTGAAAGAAAAGAAGAAAGTGAAGTAATCTTGACAATAAGAAAAGAAAGTTAATACGTCAAATGTAAACTTAGCATAGCTCAACGGATTGAAGTATATATTTCAATAAAAAAAATCGTGGATTTAAATCTATATGTTGTACTAAAAAAAGAAAGTTAAAATTTCAAACATAAAGAAAAGTTAAATAACAATGAAAAGGAAATAAATGAAGAAATGAAGAAAAATTGAAACTAGAATGAAGAATGAGAAGACGAAAAAAAAATTAGGGAGAAATAACTTAAAAATGAAAATAAATAATTACATATAATAGTAATTAATAGAAAAGAGAATTTACCATTACACTGCGATGGAGAAAGTTAGACACTTGGAGTAATTTTATTTCTAAATACGTGGGCCCTACATAATATATATATATATATATATATTTATTTATTTATTTATTTATTTATTTATTTATATAACAATAAAGGTAGTTTACACGTGGCATATTTTAGACAGGATTAGAAAGGAATATGTGGATAAAAATTTATAAGAAAAGAAAATGTGTAATTGAGTAAGGTGAATTGAGAGAGATAAATTGAAGGGGTTATCGTGGACCAT